AAATTGAAAAAAGCAAAATGTGAATAATCACCTAATATTTATTTTCACTTATTTAAATTAGTAATTCAAACTCTATTTTAATGAATACAATTTACTCTGTTTTTCAAATGCTAGTTGATACCCAAATGATGAGAAATTAAGATTCCCAGACTCCATTTCCAGATTGAGATTCATTAGGTCAGAGGTGGGACCTCAGAATATATATTTTTAAATACATACTCTTATGTGTTTCTAATAAGTAGACTGGTTTTGGAATCATTGAATTATGTATTAGAATACATAATTAAATAATGTATTAGAGAAACCTAGTATTGAAGTATAGTTAATATTGTCATAGGATAACTCAGGACTCACCTGAAGTCTTGGTCTGAATTCTGTATATTTTGATCTGAAATATGGTGGACAGTATTCTTGTGGTGAAAAACACACCTTATAAAGAGAGAATTATTAATTTTAGACTGCTTGTAAAGCAAGTATATTTCCCAAGATAATGTATAGCAGGTTCAAGCAGAAATAAAAGTAGCAAAAAATTGAAATTTCAGGATATTAATTTTTTTATATCATTGTTCATTTTTAAACAATATTTGCTTCCCACCACCCCCCCTCAGGTGTAGTCCCCATAGAATTTCCCTCACCAATGCACCCGTGCACCATCACCACAGTCCCCTGTGCTCCTCATTCCCGCCCTCTCCCACCTCCTCCCCTGCAGGATATCTCTGATTTATAATTGTCTGTTATTGTTTTGTTGTGTTTTGTATTGTTATTATTTTTTAACACTGATGTAATTTTATTTTATTTTATCTTATTTTTTTTAACACTGATGTAATTTTAAAAGGTTGCAAAATGCTTTAGACACTATATTGAGTTAGCATTTTCAGTGGTTCTCAAAAAGGTATCACACCATGCCAAATTAATTGGCAGATATAATTCCAATCAAAACCTCAGAGTTTATAGAACTTGCCAAGATAATTTTAATACTTCATAGGTGAGAAACAATGTATAAGAAGTATCAAGAAAATGATGAAAAAGTAGATATACAAATTCCCTACTGATAGTAAAATGGATTTTTAAGCCATAGTAATTAAAGTAGTATAACAATGTAGTAGAGACAGCAAAATCATCTACTGGGACAGAATACAGAGTATTGAAACAAGACATGTTAATAAGTAATTTTAGCAAATAATAAAGGTTATACTTCAAATTAGTGGGAAGAAATGATCTATGTAGTCAAGGCTCTCATTTGCAAATTATAGAAACTAGCATAATTTAAAAAAGAAACTTATCTGGGCTAACAAAATTAATTTATTCCTTCATTCTAAAGAACAAAAGGCTTTCATGTAAGCTGGGAGAACCACAGGACAATAAAACATGGTAGCAGGGTGTTAATGGTAGGAGATTTCAAATTTGTATAAAGAAAGTGTGAAATCATACTAATGTTATTTAATGTAACAAATGTAGTTAGTTAAGTCAATATTAGTTTTATCTAAAAAAATTAAGGTAAATGAAGGTGCCAAACTTTGAGCAATTACAAATAGTGAGTATGCATTTCCAGCAATTTTTTCACTTTATTTGTACTGTGACTAAAAACACATAACATGTACTAAACAGAATGCTTAGTTAAATAGAAAAAATAAAACACATAACATGGTGGTGGGGAAACTGGTGACTGCACCTGAAGTGAGAAATCCTACACTGCGAAAAAAAAACAATGTTTAAAAAATAGTTAATTAAAGTTTAAAAAATAAAAATAAAAACAATTGACCACTTTTAAGTATAAAGTCCAAAAGTGTTAAGTATATTTATCATTGTGCAACAGAGCTCTACAATTTATTTTGCACAATAAAAACTATACTCATTAAATACCAATTTCCCCTTCTCCGATCCCTCTATCCCTGGCAATTACCAGGCTTTTTCTTTTTTCCTGTATCAAAACTAGTCATTTTACTATCACCAAACAATGACTTTCTATTGATAGGGAAAATTAAATCCTTTATTCTTCCCCACCTTTCTTCCACCCTGACCTTTGGGGAAATGATTTAGTCCCCAGTCATTGTGAAGGGTTAAATAGAAACTAATCAAGCTATATCTTGAGCATCTTAACTTATGCAGAGGCTCTGAAAATGTGAACAAACTATTGAAAGACTGTCACCTGAATCAGCTATAAAATGGAAAAGATGTTAGTCCTTTGCAAATCAGGTTAGCACTCCAGATGCTTGTCTCAAAATACTGCATTTCTTTAGCACACTGTCTACCTTGGTTCATAAAACAAAGAAGCAAACAAACAAAAACCTCTTCTTTTAACTTGAAACAACTTCAAAGCTTATTTTATCATAGAATTCAGAAGATTTTGCAACTTGTTTGTGAAGCAATTAGCTTAGACTTTCAGGAATTTGTTCTAGAACTCTGCTAGGTCTTCAGTTTACAAGCTTGTTGCCCTAGGTGATAGATTCTTTCAATTTTCTAAGTCTCTTGACTGTAGACAACCTATGCTTTATGGGTGCCAGGTAAATAGTCTTGTTCAATTTAATTTAGTTTTATCTCATATGAAGATCTATCTCTGGTAAGGAAAATATTAAGGTAAGTTATCCTTTTTTTTTTTTTAATTAAACTATTTTGAGATGTGGTAGCATATATCTGGAGAGTTGAGAACCTATAACTCTAAATCATATACAGTGTTGTAAAACCAACATTACCTCACTAAAAAATAATACAATAAAACTATTAAAGAAAAAATAAATAATTAGAGGTATGTTTCCTCTATCCTCATTTTTTTTAGGTTCTCTTTTTAATCATCAATGGATTTTGAATCTTATCAAATACTTGTTCCCTGTGGGCTATTTGAATATTTTTTTAAGTTTCAACATTGATTTATTTACAGTTTTTTTGAGGCTATTGCTTTTTATAGTTGTTTTATAGTGTTTGTGTTAGGTATTATAACATATTTAAATAACTTATCATAATCTACTGGTATAGATATTTACCTCTTCACGTGAAGTACAGATCTCTTCCTTCCACTTAAATCCCTTCATGTTCCCTATTTTAAAAACTGTCATTATTTCCTCTACTTACATTGGATATCACAACAGATGGGGTTATATTTTTGCTCAACCATTACAGATTCTTTAAGAATGCATGAAAAGTAGGGTAGTCACTCAAATAAAGGGAAACTTTTCCCAGTCTGATGTTCTTTTCTTTCTGAAGTCCCACAACTTCTGTTTATCTCTTTCTTTTTAGAGACATTTCTTTAGCCATTCCTTAAGTGAATGTTTCCTATCAACAAATCCGCTGCTTCTCCTTTGTCTCAGAATATTTTATTTCTCTTCCTCCTCCCGCTCCTCTTTATCTCCTCTCTTTCCCTCTCCTCTTGTCCTTCTCCTCTCTCCACTCCTTCTGGGAAGGAGTGTCAATATGTGAATATTAACATTTTGTTATTGTTTCACAGTCTCTGAAACTGTTCTCTTTTTTCCCAGTTTATTTTCTCTCTGCTAGTCATGTTGGTAAATTGATATACTGCATCAGGTTCATTTCTCCTATCCTCTGTCATTTGCCCTCTACTACTGAATCCTATAAGTGAGATTTTCATTTTGGTTGTTGTCTTTTTCAAGTCTATAATTTCCATTTCATCTTTTTTTTTTTTTTACAACTTCTCTCTGATAATTTTAGTTTTTCATTTGCTTGAGGGGATTTTATAATTGCTTGATGAAGCATTTCTATGGTGACTGTTTAAAATTCTTGTCAGATTATTTCAATATCTGCTTCATATTTGTTGACATCTGCTGATGATTTTTTCTTTCATTGATACTGTGATTTTCCTGGCTCTTAGTCAAGTGGTTTTCAACCATAGCCTTGTCACTTTGTGTTTTTTTTTTTAATCTTTTTTTCTTTTTTAAGATTTATTTTATTTATACAAGAACTGGGGTATAGGCCAGATGTGCAGGAGGGTGAGAGGATTCACCAGAGACAGAGTGGGGAACAGAACAGGCAGAATGACCGAAATACATTGCTGAGGGGAGCAGTGGGTGAGTCAGGAGAGGTCTGCCACACCATGTGGGTTGCTCCGCGGCTGGTGGGGATTGAAACGGCACTGCAGAGGCTGCGGACAGCTTCACAGCACTGCGCTCTACTCCTGCGCCACCAGAGAGGCCCAGCCTCGTCACTTTGGATCTTATATTAGGAGAGGGCTCTGGATCCTTTAAAATCTCTTAAGCAGGCAGCCACTCTCTTGGGGAGCAGCCTGGGGGCAAGCCATATAGTAGTATATTCAGCTTTTCCACTAGCTCTCCCCAGCAAAAGTGAGGCAACAGCTCACACTGCCTTGTTGCAGATAAACAATGAGCTATCCCCTTGACCCTGCTGATATCTTCTTAGTGACAGTGGGGCAAGTAGGTTCTGGTGCTATTGTAATTGGCTTACTAAGCAATAACTATTTTGGAGGAGGCATAAGTAAAGAATTAAATGGTGTAGTCTAAAGTTAATGTTATTTTATAATCATTTATAAATTTGTAATTATGAGTAAAAAGATAATTGATTTAAAATGAACTTATAAATTCATAATAAAATATGTTTTCCTGATGACAAGCACTGTCAGTAAATATTAATTTATTCAAAACAATGCAAAAGGTTAACTATGATTTGTAAAAGACATAGCAATATACTTACACTTTTCCCCTTTACATTTGTATTTTTTGGTGCATAAGTCTTATCTTTCATTAATTTGTCTGAAAAATAATGAAAAAATTGATAATATAAGTAAGCTGGAATGTGTGGCATTTGATATGACCTGTAGACTTGTCTCTAATTGATGCTTGTGTAGCATAGTGGCTAAGAGCACAAGCTCCGAAGCCAAGCTTCTTGGACTCAGTCTCTGCAAATCACCAACCGTCTAACTTTGGAAAGTTATCCTGCTTCTCTCTGTCTTATCATCTATGGAAAGATTAAGCTCCTTTCTCACAGGATTATTGTGCTATAAAGGGCTAAAGCACAAAATAAATGCCAATTGTGTTGTTACTGTTATCATCATTAATTCTTCCTCTCCACTGACCCCTGATGCACTGGACCCTTGGGTTTGTCACCTAATAGATTACAATGATTATGGTAAAATAAATGTTATCTAATTATTATTTTAATAGTATTGTTAATGTACATACATTAAATAATTAAAATTAAATGTCATCATGCTCTGTACATAAAAGATCATTTTTTAGCCAGATTTTACTAAATGATTGTATTAGTACTTCTACTTTTCTGGCTGATAATGCCAGTTCCAAAAATAAAATAAAAACTAAAACAGCAAAAATCTTATCACTGTACTCTAGTTGCTTCTGAAAGTTTTTGTGGCTTTTAAGGATTACGTATGTTATTAACATCTATGCTTGACTAGATGTTTAAAAGACATGCTTTTACTTATCCTTCTTGGTATCTCCTTTCAACCTGTCCTCTAGCAACCAATGGCTAATCTTCCATCACATGCTTGTTAGACATACCTTACTCTGTAAAGCTATGGATACAATTTGCATTCCAGGTTTGTTTCATGAGTAGCTGTATATGTCCTCAAGAAAATTTATGAATGTAGAGAGGATTCTTACATAATAAACCAAAAGAATTTATAAAATATGGATCAAAACAATTATGGCCTTCAATGAATGAATTGTGGTTCTGGGCTAAAATGTACATGCAGAAGCAAACTAAATTACCATCAATAGAAGACTGAATCAAGATATGGTAATCCACATCATGTGATACTATGTAGCTGCTATTTACAACAAAATGGAAGATGTCTGAGGGAATTATGTGTAGTCAAGGTAGTCAGCTTAAAGACAAATATTGGACATTTACATAGAGAAGGGTTGAACAAAGTAAAATATTGAACTAGTGGATATCAATTAACAAGTAAGATATAGTGGTGATATTAACTGCTTTCCAATAAACAAGTGAGGTTTCTGAGATTGGGGGTGGGGAGAAAGGGTGAAGAAGATATAATAGCCTGCCCAAGAGCAAGATAAAATGAGAATTAAAAACAAGCATTTACTTTTGAAAAAAAGGGTACACCACAGGTGTTCAATCCAATTCTGAAATTGATTTGGACTGCTTATAAAGTCTGCTTATAAAGACTTTGCTCATCAGAGACTGGTTCACAGACATTTCTCACAGTCTTTTAAAGAATTTTCACATGAGTTACCTTTTCCATGTCTCAGTTGCCTTCCTTATAAAACTAGGATAATAGTGTCAGCTTTACAGGGTTGTAGAAAGATTAAACAAATTACTATATAGGAAGTATTTACAAAGATATGAAGACATGAGGCACTGCAAAGACTTATGGAAATGTTTATTCTTAGTACCTAGTCCCTCACTTCAATTTTAAAATGGGAAAATTGAGACTTTGAGAAACAAACAATAGCCTAAGTTTACAAAGATAGTGATAAGACAAGGCAAGAAGCAGTTAATCCTCCAATTTATATTTTCTTATAGTTGATAGAATATTTTCCCCTTTCAAGAAATACTTGGAAATAATATATTAAGGATCTTGCTGGATGCTCCACCAAATTTACTCCAAAAGTTCTTCCATGGTTAAAAGAATCCAAAGGATACTAGAATTAAAGTTTTGTAGGAATCATATTATGGGTACCCAAGTAGCTCAGTCTCCTAAAGTGTCTTATAATTCTTGCATGTCATTGAAAATGGTTATTTTTTCTAACATGACAACAAATGGTTTATTAAAACAATATTATAGTACATGCAAAATAAATATTATCTAGAATTTTAAGGTCAGGTGTATTTTCCATTCTTCAATTTTCCACTAATAATATAATTCCATAAATTTCTCTTGCCAATAATCTCAAAACAATAAAGTAATTTACATTGGAAGGAAAATCTTGATAATAGCTATTTTATAAGTTCAAATTCTCAATTTAGATGAATATTTAAAATTATAACAATATATATAAGTAATAACTTACCTACAAAAGTAGCCATAGTATTAGGTCTTTTACTTATGCTTGTGGGATATTTTGAACCCTGAAATAAGAATAGATCAGAGAAAATGAATAGAAAAAATAATTAAATATCAATATGATCTTTTAAATTAGCATTATTGATGGCTAAAATAATAAGGTCCAATGTTACCATTTTATTTTATCTTATCTAATGAAAAGAAAGCATTTACAATTTAACCAGTGAAACTGGAAGTATCGGGATAACAAGTATGGCTGAAACATTGTATTCACAGGTGGTTGAGGCAGAAAATAGCAAGGATAAAAAAGAAGATATTGCTTTGGATATTACTGACCTCTTCTGGTTATCTCCAAACCCCAGGAAACAAAAGTAGTAACTTAGATACTATAAATACTATACTTAGTATGTTATTTTTTTAAATATTTATTTATTTATTTATATAAGAACTGGTGTACAGGTCAGATGCATGGGAGGGTGAGAGGATTCACCAGAGACAGAGCGGGGAACAGAACAGGCAGACTGATGAAATAACACTGCTGAGAGGAGCAGCAGGCGAGATAGGAGAGGTCTGCCACGCCATGTGGGATTCTCACAGGCCAGCCAGGATTGAACTGGCACTGCAGAGGCTGTGGACAGCTTCACAGTGTTGCGCTAAACTGCCTGCACCACCAGGGAGGCCCTACCTAGTATGTTATTAATAATACTATATATACACTATACATATTATACTTAGATACTATTAATAAAATTAATATCAAAGAAACCACATATCAAAAGTGAAGGTAGAAGTGACATCACGGAAAATGGTGGAGTAGGATCCCTCCCATGAAACAAATATAAACTGTCAAAGATTGACAGATCAACTATTCAAATTCTGGAATCTAATATAGAATTTACAGCAACCAGGAGACTGGTTTAATGAAGAAAAGGGCAGCTAAATTTTGGTGTTTGTCATGTCTTTAGTTGGTTACGGACATAATGAAACACATTATGGACATAATGGAACACATCTGGTCCAACGTGACTCACCACAAATACTTGTCTTTGCAAAAACAGTTGGGTATGTCACTAAAGAAACAGATAACTGTAGCTCTCAAAAATCAATAACAGTAATCCCAGGAGTAGGAGAAGGATATAATTTCAAAGGTAATATTTTAACATTTAAAATGCTCAATGTCCAACAAAAATTTACAAGGCATACAAAGAAACAGGAAATATGGCCTATCCATAGAAGAAAAAAAAAGAAATGCCCCTGAGGAAGCCCAGATATTGGAATTACTAAACAAAAATTATTAAATCTTTCTTAAATATTATCAAAGAGCTAAAGGGAACTATAAACAATAAACAAAAGGAAGCCAATAAAATAACAATGAGACTATAAATAAAAACATATATAAAATATAAAAAAGAACTAAATAGAAATTTTGGATCAGAAAGTACAAAACCGGAAAAAAAATCATTTGAGGACTTCAGTAGTATCACTGAAGCTGGCAGAAGATTAGAATCAGTGAACTTGAAGGTAGGATGTTGGAATTATTTAGTCTGAGAAGGAAAGATGAAGAAAAATTAACAGAGCCTAAAGAAACTGGGGGACAACCATTAAATTTACCAAACATACATATTATGAAGGTCACAGGAGAAGAGACAGAAAGGGTCAGAAAGAATATACAAAGAAATAATGGCCAAACACTTCTCAAATTTGATAAAATACACATATCTACATATCTAAGAAGTTCAACAGACTTCAAGGAGAATAAATGCAAAGAAATATGTGCAAAGATACATAAGTAAACTGACAAAAGACAAAGACAGAATTGAAAGGAGCCAGAACTAAGTGACTTAATGCATACAAAAGTTATTTCCTAATGATTACTGATGAAAAGCTCCTTTTCATATAGGTATTGGTAATTTGGATGCCTTCTTTGGGTAAATGGCTACTCACTTCTTTTGCTCTAATTTTTTTTTTTAATTTTTTGCTATGAGTTGTAGGAGGTTCTTACATATTTTGGATATTAACCCTTCATCAGGTATGTAGCTTGGGATGTTCTCACATTCTGTAGGTTGCCTTTTCATTTTGTTGATTGTTAGCTACAGTAGCCAAAGGAGTATTGGCATAAAAACAGACATATAGACAATGGAAGAGAATAGAGAATATATGGTCAACTAATCTTCGAAAAAAGTCCAAGAATATACAATGGAGGAAAGGATAATCTCTTCAATAAATGGTGTTGGGAAAAGAACATCCAATGCAAATGAATGAAATTGGACCATACTCACACCATGCTCAAAATGAATTAGACTAAAATATATAATTCATTAAACCATGAAATTCCTAGAAGATGCATTTCTGGACATAGATCTTTATAGTGTTTTCTTGACTATGACACCAAAAAGCACAGGAAATAAAAGCAAAATTGGGCAATTGGTATTATGTCAAAGCAAAAGGTCTACATCTTCTTATTGCTGGAGAGTCTTTATCATATGTCCACTACATCAAGTTGTTAATTATGTTCATATTTTTATATCCTTACTTTTTTACTTGCCAAGTAGCTTTAATTGGCAGAAATACTAATCTTAAAAAGTATCAGATTAAATTATCTCACTACAGTTGTGTTTGTCAATTTCTCTTTGAAATTATGTTATTGTAGGCTGTATACATCTTGAAATTATATCAATATTTGTATAGCTTCAGAATTATTATCTATATTTGATGAGTTGTTTTTATTTTAAATAGTGTTGTACTGTTTTATTCTCCCAATAATAATTTTATAATAGAAATCTTTTATCAGTAGTGATATAAAGCTTTCCTTTGGTTAATATTTGTCCAGTTCTTTTTTCTCATTAGTTTCATTTTTTAGAATCCTTGAATTATCTTTAGATGTCTGTTGTTTTCACTGAAATCTGAAAATATTTTAACTAAAAGGTTGAGTTAATTTATAGATTTATTGTGATAGCTCATGTTGAATTTCTACCATTTTATTTAATTCTATTAAAATGTTTTTTTCTAGAGTCCTTTTATATTCCTTTCCTATAATCTATGAGGTTGAATGGGTTTTTAAATTTCCTCTTCTCCCTTTCTACTAGATTTGGAGGAGTATATACCTTTTTATTATTTTTTCTTAAGTTTTTAACATGTATTATTGATTTTTTCGAGTGGTCACTTAGATGAATGGGATTCTAGGGTTAGTTTTCTCTTAGCATTTACTATCCCTTTGTTATCTATTGTTGCTTTTAACAGTTTTGGTTCTCTGGAAGGCAACCACTGAGGTGGAAATATATGTATAAGACATTAGGGAGTAGCACTGGGATCAACATCTGAGAAGAGAGAGGAAAGAAAGAGGGTTGGACAGAAAGAGAAGTCAAGCTACCACTTAGTCTCAATGGTGGCCTCAGCCGACCCTGCAGGAACTCCTAGAGTTAGTAAGGCTTTTTTTTTTTTTTTTTTTTTTTTAAGATTTATTTATTTATTTATACAGGCACTGGGTATAGTCAGAAGCGTGGGAAGGCAACAGAAAATTCACCAGAGCCAGAGCGGGGAGCAGAACAGGCAGACTGATGAAATACACTGCTGAGGGGAGCAGTGGTCGCAGCAGGAGAGGTCTGCACGCCATGTAGGACCCTCCCCGTAGGCCCAGCCCAGCGCTCAACTGCTGCGCCACCGGGGAGGCCCATGGCTCTTAAAAGTTCTTCTAATTTGGTGCAAGTGATCGAGCTTTGGAATGACTCATCTTTGGATATTGGTTGTCCCTGTAAAGAGGTGTGAATCAAATTAAGTTCGAAATCAAGGGGCGGAGAAGTACATTCCACCCTAGTAGGAAAAACCAAAAAGTGAATAGGAAATGGGCACAAATACAGGGCACGGTAAAGTGTCGAGGCCAAAAATTCATTCTAACACAGTCTATCTTCTTTCCCATGATTAGGCATATCTTTCGCAAATGCAAAACACACTCATTACCATTCAAGCTCTCCGCTCTTTCAAGCAGCACATCAGACTTAAAATGGTCTAGATGCTGCTCCCATGAATAAAGCCCTATGAACCAGACTGTTTGGATCCCAGAGGCCCTTTTTTTTTTTTTTTTTTTTATAGAGGCATGTTTTCTTTCTTTCTTTCTTTCTTTGTTTATACATGCACTGGGTACAGTCAGAAGCCCGGGAGGGTGAGAGAATTCACCAGAGGCAGAGCGGGGAGCAGAGCAGGCAGAAGAACCGAAGTACACTGCTGAGGGGAGCAGCGGGCGGCAGGAGAGGTCTGTGCGCCATGCGGGACCCTCCTCCGGTGGCCGGGAAGCAGCCGGGGATCGTCCCAGAGGCCCTTTTATCTTGGCTCCACACAGTGTACAAAATAAGCCAATGTAAGGATGCCATTTAATGGGAGAAAAGAAGTATTGTGTCCTGGAATGGCCAAAGTAGAATTTCAAATTTTCACACAGATCTATAAGCTCCTGCATTCCCTTTATCCAAATCATCACCCAAGGGAAAGTTAAGAGGAAATGATCTTTCTGGGGAGAACTGCAATCTGTGATCAAACCGCCTTATTTTAAGGAGTGTGACCTTGGAGGGGGTAAAAACAATAGAGTCAGAAATCTTTTTGAGTCTCTTTTTTTAAAGGTTATTCTAATGGCCAACAGTACAAGGTGCCTGCAGATGGTAGGGACCATGAAAGACCCACAAATACCTTGACTATCAGACCATTTTTTTAAAATGACTTTCGTATATTCTTTTCAGACTGCAAATGATCCAGAAAGCCAAAGACATGACTTAGAATCACATCAAGAAGAGTAAACAGAGTCATCTGGTTGCACTGAAAATAATCCCATACCCTGAAAAGTATCAACCAATTACTCACAAAATCCACTGTGAAGAATAGATTATGTGCAATGGAAGCTCTCCCAGCACAAGAGACAAATGAGTCAACTTTTGACAGGAGTCAAGTCTGGCAAGCCGTGGCAGTCTCTGCATCAGAACCTTTGCCAAAGTTGATTTCTTTACTTGGTGCCCAGCTATGGTGGTGGATGTGCTGCCATTTCCAGTATAATGATAAATCCAGGCAGCATTGGTGGCAATCTGGGGTGAAGAAGCTCAGTCGGCAGCTTGCTTCCAGCTAGTCTTAGTAACAACATGCCCTCACTGGGTACATTCACATAAGTAATCCAGATGATTCATTCAGTAGCAGCAGTTTGGTCCTACAGTTTGTAGCCCCAAAGAAGGATGTCTTTAATCTGCTACTATGTATTTTTCCAAAAGGCAAACTAAGCATCTAGGCCCTTGGTAATGGCCCAAAGTAAGTAAAGCTATAACAAAGATCTTCAAGCTGAGTATTGCCAAGTTCTGGCCATATAAGGTCTCTTATCCCCTTAGTGGAATAACCACATCCATTTTTGCATTTGCAAAGCTGGCCAGAGGCTGAACAGTCACAGTAGCCCAGTCTAGCCATCAGGTTCCAGCTTAGCTGAACAACTAGTGAAACTAATTTAGGCATTTAGGGGACCTCTGTGAGTCCAGGGCTAGAGGAGAGCCAGTGGCTTTGCTGTTGATGTGAAACTGAGGTTAAGGTTTGGCCGAAATTGTCAGCTGCCACTTTTTCTTGAAAAAACAAAACGATGTGAGGATCAGATCAGATGTACCCATGAACACACTACTACTGTTAGGGGGAAAGGATGTCCTGATTATTTTAATTTTTTTTAATGGGAAGGAACTTTAATACAATTAGGAAACAATACAAGAAAGGCAAAGAATCTAGTTTCTAAATCAAGCACCCAAAGTTACCTGTCCCCTCATGGGTAAAACTCCATCCAAATGGGATTGGCCCAGAGCAAGGCCCCAAAGCCTGCCACAAGTCTAAAGCATCTTCCAGTGGGGACCCACAGAAAAGGATCAGAAACAACCAGACAAGCCCGGAAGGAAAAGAGCAAAATCAAAATCAAGATAAAAGCTGCCAATGTCACCTCCCCACGGGTCTCACCCACATCTGTGTCACCCAGTCCACAACCAAAAGACAAGCGCAGTTTCTTCACGAGTCTCTAGGCTCCATGTGCCTCCTCCAGATCTCCTTCTGGCTCCATCCTGCTTCCTTCCTCTGTCTCCTCTGCAGCCTCTTCTCTTCCTGCTCAGCTCCACCCTCCATTTGGGTGGGGAAGGGAACCTAGAACCTCCCCCTTTCCTGGGACCACCCTGTTACACTACCATTTGGCCAGCAAAGCCTGATGTTTTAGATCTACTTTAAGCCTGCTGATTTGCAAGTTAGCCAATATAAAGGACTAAGTACAATGCCCAAATATAGTACCCTATGCCCAAAGAATTAAAAAAAAAAAAAATACACTGGGCCTCCTTTGGCACTGGGTGACCAGAGACAGCACTTTTTCTTTGACTGTCAAAAGAAATGAGTGTTGTGAATCTGTCCACATAATCCCAAGAAAATTTATTTGGCATGGGACTCTTGAATTTGTCAGCTACCTCAGTAAAGGCGTGATAACACCACAGTCAGGGCCACTGCGATCAAGACATTTGACTTCCTAATCAACAGGCATCACCTAATCTATATTTAGAAATCAGAGGGTGGAGGCACCAACTTAAATCCTGATCCATCCACCCATGCCTCATGACAGGATTTCTCTGTGTGCACCAGTGCCCTGAATGGGAGAACTTCCTCTTTCACTATACATGAGTATTTACAGTATAAACATGTAACACATCACTTTCATGACACCACTAGCATTGAGTTACAACTCCTGAATCAGCAGAGGCCCCTACCAATAAGGTCACTTTGGCTCTTTTTCCACACTGAAAGTTTTGCTGGAACCCTATCAGTTGATTTCAGCTATTTCACACATACCCTCACCCCCACTTCTATAACACAGATTAACCTGTGTGTTAGGGACTATAATAGCTATCATAGCTGCCGGGGTGGGGTGGGGGGTTACTTACAGAGGGAGCACAGAGAAAGCAAGGAGCTAGTCTGTGGGGAACAGCTGGAGCAGCAGGAAGGCTCCTTATAGTTACTCTGCCCCCCTCCCCTCTACACCTCCCTGCTCCTACAGTGTGTCTGGGTTCAGGACCTCCTTTCTTTCTGGCACATGCTCCACTTGGAGTCTTTGGTGCCTGTAGCCAACAGAGCTATACGAGTTTGTGCCCTTCAAGTCCCAGAAGTTCCTCAGCTCAACAGGCCTTTTCCTGAAATCAGCTGAGGTCCTCCTTTTCTTCCCTGACCCTAGCCCCATCTTCAGAAGGGAGTGAAGAAAATAGAAAGTGCCATTTGGTGGCTGACTCTAATCCCGGCTTGCTCTGCTCAGTCTCTACACAGCTTTTAACAGGTAGGACAAGTGGGAGACCCTTAACTACCCACTCCCTTTCCACCCTCACCACCATTTGGCTACTAAAATCTGGAAAATCTGCTCACATTCCCCAACCCAGATTATAGGGTCCTTTTTCCTTCCTTTTCCAGAAAGTCACATCTTTGTTCGGCATCCCATTCTCAATACCATAACTACCAGGAGCTATACAGTTTCAAAGGGCTTATCCTTCTTAACAAGCTCTTATTTATCCTGCCAGTTTCATGAATGCTGACAGAAGACTTCTGAGTCAAAGACAATGGACTTTGTTATTATTTATGGCAAAAGCCCCACTGAGTCAATGATTTTCTCCAAGGGAAGGCGGGTGAGGTAAGGTTTTCCAGGAAGGGATAACTACAACATTTTCATGTAAATTTGAGAAACTGCTGGGTCCAGGTTTTCTCTGCTCTTGAATATACTGTTTCCACTCGATAAGCAAGGTTTATTAGGCTCTTTCCATCCTATTAGTTGCAGAATCCAACTTGATCTATCATCACCAAATGGAAATAGGAAGCCAAAAAATCATAAGGCTTCTGCAGGAAGGTGTTGACGTTTGACAAGAGCTTCATAGCTCTCAGTGTTAGGTACTTAAGAAAATAACTATTTTTCAAAAGAGCTGTAACTGGTAGGTGTGTCAGAAAGAAAAAAATCCAAAACCTCAAGACAGGTCTTTAGATAGGGGCTCCAATCAGCACAGAGAATTATAGTTCAAAGGAGTCATTAGGACCATACGGCCCTAAAGATAGTGCATCACAGCCTGCTAACTCAACTTGTTGCTTTGGGACTCACTAAATGGATGCTGATTTGTGGGTTAGCTTGAAAATTCTACTATTGTTAAGGACCAAGTAGAATGGCCAAATATTGCACTCCCACACCCAGAGTCCAACAAGGCGCTGGGCCTCCTTTTATGGTAGTTAGGAGAAGGGGAGCAAGAGAGACATTTTTACTTTGACTGCAGAAGGATTGAATATTATGAATCTACACAGATAGTTCCAATAATCTACCTGGTAAGTAGAAGTCTTAATTTTTTCAGAGTTTGTCAGCCATTTCTATTGATGAGGATGTGATAACACCACAACCAAAACCACACTCAAGGCTGCTGAGACTAAGGCTTTTTACTTGCTAACCAATGGGATATCATCTCTGTGGAGAAAGCTGTGGACATCAGAGGGTAGTCGCATCCATGCCCAATCCTGATCCATCCATTGGTGACAAATGGCAGGTGAGCAGGTATTTCTGAGGGGAGAACTAAAAAAATATGCAGATTCATCTTGATCCACAGGTGTCACTGGTATAGCAAAGATGGTGTTGGCAATTCCAAGATAACAAACAAGTGTTGTAAATCTGTGTAATGGATTCAGTTCTAGTCACATTATCTAGAACTCTTTCCATATCCCCAGTCTCTGGACATGGATGAGCAGCTAAATTCACTTAGTGATAACCCACTGCAAGTCTCTAACTCCATTAAAAATGTCACTGGCCATGCAGAGACGTTACACTGAGATAACGCCTCTCTTACCTTCCCTTTTGCTTTAGGCCCTTAGTGAAGACTGATTTTCCTTGGTCTTCCTAGTATACCATAGTGTTTTCATCAGACCATCTGGGAGGGTACGGGAAGACAGTTGGATAAGACTTACATGTTCCACCAGCATTTCTCTACATGTGGCTCTTCCAACTGCTCTGGCACATCTGGGATGGAGATGGACAAGTACACAACACAATAATTCCTACTACACATTCAGATGTAGAAACAACAGTACATTTCATTTAAAGAGCCCCATTCGGATTTTTTGTAATTTCCCTTCCCTATTGTGAACCCTGCCCAAACCCCTTAGACTGAATCCAAGTGACTTTTTCTTCCACAGGACCAGGTAAGACAGAAACTCGGGAACACATCACCCACAGTCATCTAAGATTGGGTCCTTACCTCATCCTCTAAAATTCAACAGCAAGCTTAGCTATATAAAGTCTCTTATCCCCTTTATAAATGGAAGACTTTGGTTTTGCCTCTAGTCATGCTTCTCCTTAAAGCAGCTGAGACTAGGAGGTGCCATGGGGTGCAGAAGCAAAAAGCTGTTTAACAAGACATCATATTTACTTTCAATTTTCAGTGGTATGTATATCAGCGATTCATGGCTCAATCAAATGAACTTTTAATTTTGTTGGCAACAAGGTCTTCATAGCTGAGATCGTCTATTTCATTTTTGGATTCCTTGACTCAGCATTCAAAGCCACACTTCTTTCTGGATGGAGTCATGAGATTTACATATCCTTGGGTGACTTATGCTTGGCTTGTGTATCAGTGACCTACTTTGTGGAGTCCACTTCAATCCAAGGCATCTGCAGTCCAATTACCATGATGACATCTCACAAATTCTTGCTAGGGGCCAGTATAAAGGCTATGGGAGTTTTCCAGGGCACCAGAGCTGACTGCAAGAATTTATACTTCCTTGGATCAGTTTATTTCCTAGATCAGTTTTACCAGCATGATTACAGTTTAGATAGTAAGAGCCTGAACATCAGTCACTACCTATGTATGGTTTTCCACAAGACTTCATATGTCTCAGGGAAATCTCCTCAAGAGAGTCAAAGAAACTACAATATAGCAGCCACTACCTAAAACTCTGAAATCTTTTATGTTGCTTTGGAATGGATGTAAGATGCACACTGTATGCTGCAGTAGTTGTTGGCCAGAAGACAGGTCAGCTTTGTCATCCTTCCCTAATAGGAAGTACAAAGTCTGCGCCCTCACCTCCCAAGAAAACCAGCCAAAGGTCTAATGAATCACTTGGTTTCTGTCCAGAGCAGTCATGAACTTCCATCCTGTCATCTCTGGTGTAGGTATGCATCTCTGTAACTGCTTCTAGAGAGCAGAATCTTTTGCCCACTTAGGATAAATCATACTGTTGTTAAAATGGCACAGATGGAGGATGATCATCAGATTGGCAAGGGAATTTCCCTATCTAGAAGTTTGTAACAACCAAGGCACTGTTCTGAAGCTGCTGTTTTTGAACCTGCTTCCCTACACTTGGCTTGCAATCACCTGATAGGTGGAATAGAGAGAGATGATTCTCCTTCATTAATATGCAATAAAGTAGAAGACTGCTTATTGCCTGACTTATCATGCAATTTGCTCAGCATGTTTACTACCAATTCCCAAGGGTTTTCCTCAAATCTAACCCATCAGACCACAAGGTTCTTGTCATTCATCTTTCTGAAAGTCATTTCTGTCAGTGTTCCATATTGTGCCCAAAGCTATCAAGAACATAGCCTACTTGTAAGCTAACAAGTTAGCCTGAGTAGTAGCCTGGATGCTAATAGAAGACGAGCACCTCCTGAGTCAAAGGACAGTTTATAAATGAGAGTAATTGCAGCAGTTACAGTATAAACATTTCTGTATCAGCTTCTCAATACCTAAATCCCACAAGGTAAGAAGACGGCTAGATAAGAACTGCAAATGCAATGGCTTATGATATAGGAAACTCCAGAATTCTGAATCTCAGCAAGAGGTGTAGAAATGTGAGAGACTTATGAGAATTTCCACCCCATGATAATGGAAAGACCTCGGGGATGGTGTTCACCAAATACTACCTATTAACCCTGGCTATTTCTGAAGAAGAATTATAGGCTCCTCCTTACTTGCATTGGGGGGAGGGTTAATTGAAATTTAATAATAAGCATGGGTCATTTTCAACTCTATTTCATTTTATTGAGGTAACATTACAACACTGTATATGATTCAGAGGTATAGGGTCACACCTCTTCAAATGTATGTTTCCACACCACACCCATAGTTCTCCACTTAGTCCACTGGACCCCCTCCCACTTTGCTCTCCACCTTTCCTCTGGCCCATCTGTAGCCTCGATTCTACAGTCACATGTTTTCTTTTGTTTTGTTTCTTTATATTCCATATGAGCGAAACCATCCGGTATTTGTCTCTCTCTTTCTGACTGACTGACTGACTTAGCTTAATATCCTCCATTTCCACCCTTCTTGTCACAAATGGCAACAGTTCATTTTTTTTTATAGATGTCAACTCTTATACTTTCAAAAAATGCAATATGAACACTGAGATAAAGAAAATTTGAGTTTTGACAAAGTCCCTGTGAAATGAGAGGTAAAAATAGAGGAAAATCTGTATGCATACTAGAAAACTGGGAAAATTACTAAACTTAGCAAGGAATTACAACTCCTTTAAAATGGTCCAACTAAGGAAGCTTTAATGTAAACGAAAGGTGTGTTTACAAATGAGAAACCAATAAGTGATGCTGAGGGCAACTGAGATGTCAACATTCCAGTCAGAGCCAGGGGTAGCTGAAGACATGGATGGAAGTGGGGCCACCCAGCAGGATTACAAATGTGAAGGAAAACCCATTGTCAGAATCATACCACCAAAACAAGAAGAAAGTAGGCCAGAAAACCCCACAGTTTATCTCCCCTCTAGCAGATCATATTTCATTTGTTGGCGTGGCCTAACTAGAATTCAGCCAGAGGGAGAGCCTAGTGAGGCAGTACATAGGGGTCATGATGAAGGAAGGAGGGGAGCAAACTGGGGTGCTGGGGCAGGGACAGCATATGTACTGTCCACAGTCCAAAAACGTTTCTACAAGATATACACTAGATGAAGAAAAACTGAAGGGCTGACCAATCTGTAATTTTTCATATTTACATAAAAGCCTGACTTAAAAGCAGACTGAAGCCTGTACCTCCCAGTGGAAACACAACTCCTCAAGCTCAGAGCACCTACAATTACTCTGGGTGTCCATCTTAGTTAGAGTGCTGGTTCAGTGAATATGGAAATACTGTCAAAATTCAGTGATGCTCTTTGCTATGTATTGCTTCAAGTGATGTATTTTTTCTTCCTATTCTTCACAGACAAATGAAAACCCAAGTGACATTAAAATTACTGGAGACAAATGAAAACCCAAGTGACATTAAAATTACTGGAGATATATAATGATTACTTTCCCTCTGTTTAGCACCGATTTACTTTTTCCCTATCATCATCCCTTCTACATCTTCAAACTATTCTCCTGTCCTACCCTCTAAACCTGTGAAGCCTCACTTTATTAGTGTCCACTAGTTCGTCTAAGTATTTTTCTTTGTCAAGTTTGTCCACTGAATAAATGTCCAGTATTTGTGTCATTTTGACTTGCTTTACTACACAGATTTCCTTCAAACTCCTTTCATTTTCTTATGACTGAATAATATTCCATTGTGTGGCTATGCCATGTCTTCTTAATCCAAACCTTTATCACTGGGTACTTAGGTTGTTTCCACGTCCTAGCTAATGTAAACAATGCTGCAATAACAGGGTAGAGCATAAGTTTTTGAGTTAATGGTTTCATGTTCTCGAAATAAATGCCCAAAAGTGGGATTGCTAGGTCATATGATTATTCCATTTTTATTGTATTAAGATAAATTCAGATTGCTTTCCAAAATGGCTGCACCACCTAACATTCTCACAAACAATGTAATAGGATACCTCTTTCTCTGAATCCTCTCTAGCAGCTGTTGTTGTTGTTGTTTTTGAACATGTGTCATTCTCACAAGTGTGAGATGATGTTATCTTATTGTGGTGTTGACCTGCAGCTTCCTTAATAAAAGCAATGGTGAATATGTCTTATTTGGTAAATTGTTGGTGCATACCTGTTGATCATTCATTAATTGGGTTGCCCCATTTTTTTTATCTTGATAAATTGACTTTATATCCCTCTGCAAATAAGTTGGATATAATCCTAGTTTTTTTACCCAGGAATTTCAGGTCTTTATTATTTCCTAGACCAGTACCTTTGTACCTGTAAAGATGTTCATGGCACTGGTGCCCATAAAGGGTAGTAGACAGGAAGGGATTGGCATGGCAGGGCACTAAAAGGTCACCACCAGTCAGCCTCAAGGGTCAGGCTTCCCAAAGTGGTGTGAGTACCTTAGGTGTGTGGAGGGGATTCACAGTGATTCCCTCCCCCAGGTCAACTCCCCAACCCCTTAGCCAAAACAACACAAGCAGTGTCAATGCAGCCTATCTCTATATTGTGGTTAAGCTATAGATGTTGCACTGGATGGGGACTATCATTAAGACTGATGGGCCTCCCTGGTGGCACAATGGGTTAAGCGTAGCACTGTGAAGCTGTCCACAGCCCAGCCAGGGAGATACCCACATGGCACAGCAGACCTCTCCTGTCTCGCCATCTGCTCCCCTCAGCAGTGTTTTTGCTCTGTCTGCCTGTTCTGTTCTCTGCTCTGTCTCTGGTGAATTCTCTCATCCTCCCGTGCCTCTGGTCTGTACCCCGGTTCTTGTATAAATAAATAAAATAAATCTTTAAAAAAATAAAAATACTGAGCCACCAGCTGGGAGTTGTTCTTTTTGTTTTCAGAGCATGAAGCCTTACCCTGGGTCACTGGCTCCTGCAGTTAAGATCCAGATGCTTCGAACTCTGGTTAGAGAGGACACTCATTTGCTATCTCAGTTTTGGGTGGGGATAAGGCAGGTATTTAAAATATCACAACCTCACGCTTCAAATAATAGCCCTCTTCTGTGAGGAGAAAGAGGTGACAGCTATTCCCATCAAGGTATCATATGTGTAAGTGAGCTACTGTCAGTGTACCAGTCCAGTCAAGCTCTAAGATGACTATAGGCTCAGCTAAAATCAACTGTAGCGAACAACTGCCTAGCAAAGTACAGCCGACCCACATAATATTGAGAGATAATAACATGGTTAGTTTTAAAATTTTGGAGTGGTTTGTTATGCAGCAATAAATAACTCAATTATCAAAGGGAAAGTAAATATTGTGGAAGACCAATAAAGAAATTCAAAGAAAAACTACATACTGTTAAAAAGTAAGTGCCATAAATATACAAATAATTAATATCGTTATAGTAAAAACAGCTCATTATGAAACCTAAATAACACCAAGTCCTCAATAGACTACAAATGGACAAAGGATGTGATTTGTGTCTACTCATAGAAGGGAAAAATCAAAATCACTGATAAGCATGAAAACATTTTAATCATTGCTTTAGAAATTAATACTCAAATACCAAAATTAGAGAGATGAAAAGTGGCACAATCTTTCTGGAGAGCAACTTGTCAATGTCATTTGTATAAATATATGAGAAATGACTAACAGATGCGAATAGTTAAGTAAAAGGATAATAATTTCAAACATAATGTCTAACAATGTAGAAATTGTTTAAAAGGATTACTGCATATTCATATTTAAGGATATTCTGCATTTGCAATTTTTTAAATAATTTAGGTAATATGCTCATAATGTTAACTTCTAAAAAACAAAATATGAAATTACAGAGTCAATCTAAGGTTTTAAAATAAACAAAACATGTCTCTATACACAAAACAAAGACTAAGAAGAAATCAATTGTTAAATGTGGCAGTAGAATTACAACTATTTTTATTTTCTCTTTCATGCTTTTATTTTCTATAGTGACTATATACTTTCACAATCAGTAAAAGCAAGAAATCTTATTCTTTTAAAGTTACATGGGTCAGGTTATTGATCTAGGTAATCAAGAATTATTCCCTAGCTATAGTGAATAAAAATACATTTTTAATAAAATTGTATTTAATAAAATGAAACCTTTTGAAATGTGGAGGGGAATTTAGAAGTTACCTAGTTTGATCTACCATTAAGAAGATGAGGAAATAGGTGCCCAAGAGGATGTAGGTGCTCAATTTTAAAGCTTTTAGAGGCAGAGACTTATTTAGACCTCAAACTCTTCACCTACTCTCCAGGATACATGGTGACACTACCTGAGATACCGCTAACAGTGATTCAGCCAAGATGTCAGGATGCGAGTAGAATAGCTGCCATTTTTGAGAAAGTTTCATTCTGGTATACCTTTAAATTTATATTTGTGTCATTCTCATTAGAACTCTGCGGACTGTAACAGGGAGAACATGCTATTTCCTGTAAGATTACAGTTTTATTTAAAATTTCCACTAATAGTGCCTATCCTTCACAAACTCTTCCAAAAAATTGAGAAGGAAGGGACAATACCAAACACGTTCTATGAAGCCAACATTACACTAATACCAAAACCGAACAAGGACAACACAAAAAAGGAAAACTACAGGCCAATCTCCCTAATGAATACTGATGCAAAAATTCTCAATAAAATTTTAGCTATCAGAATCCAACAATGTATCCATAAGATAATTCACCACGACCAAGTAGGATTCATTCCAGGGACACAAGGATGGTTCAACATCCGAAAATCAATCAACGTTATCCAACACATCAACAAAAAGAAATATAAAAACCACATGATAATATCAATAGATGCTGAGAAAGCTTCGACAAAGTGCAACACCCATTCATGATAAAAGCCCTTGAAATTCTTGGGATACAAGGAACATACCTCAACATCATAAAGGCCATCTATGACAAGCCAACAGCCAGTTATCATTCTCAATGGTGAAAAGCTGAAAGCAATTCCCTTAAGATCTGGAACAAGACAAGGATGTCCACTCTCACCACTGCTTTTCAATATAATACTGGAAGTCCTAGCCAGAGCAATAAGACAAGAGAAAGACATCCAAGGAATCCAAATAGGAAAAGAAGAAGTCAAACTATCACTATTTGCAGATGATATGATAATATACATAGAGAACCCCAAAAACTCCACAGAAAAACTAATTCAACTCATCAATCAGTTCAGTAAAGTGGCAGGATACAAAATCAACACGCAAAAGTCAGTAGCCTTCCTATGCACAAACAATAAATCTGAAGAAGAAGAAATAAAAAACCCATCCCTTTATTATCGAAACAAAAAAAAAATCAAATATTTGGGAATAAATCTAATAAAAGAGGTAAAGGACCTATACAAAGAAAACTATAAAACACTGTTAAAAGAAATAGAAGAAGACACAAAGAAATGGAAAGACATCCCCTGCTCATGGATTGGAAGAATAAACATTATTAAAATGGCCATCCTACCAAAAGCAATATACAGATTCAATGCTATTCCAATCAAAATTTCAATGTCATTCTTCAAAGAAATAGAACAATTATTGATGAAATTCATATGGAATCACCAAAAACCCCGAATAGCCAAAGCTCTCCTGAAAAAAAAAGAAGGGAATGGAGGCATCACACTCCCAGACTTCAAACTATACTACAAAGCCATAATCATCAAAACTGCATGGTATTGGAACAAGAACAGACATACAGACCAATGGAATCAAATAGAAAATCCAGAAATAAACCCACAGATTTATGGTCAACTAATCTTTGACAAAGGAGCAAAGACTATGCATTGGAGCAAAGAAAGTTTGTTCAATAAATGGTGCTGGGAAAACTGGGTCGCTACATGCAAAAGAATGAAGCTTGACCACTACCTCACACCATACACAAAAATCAACTCAAAATGGATTAAAGAACTAGACATAAGACCTGAAACCATAAAATACATTGAAGGAAATATATTTCCTTTGATGTGATATTCACATCCAAGACATCTTTACAGACACATCACCTAAAGCAGTGATAGTGAAGGCAAAGATAAACAGCTGGGACTACATCAAATTAAAGAGCTTCTGCACAGCAAAAGAGACAATAACAAAAACAAAGAGAAACCCCACCAACTGGGAGAACATTTTTGCACCCAACACTAATGATAAAGGACTGATCACAAAAATCTGCAAAGAGCTGATGAGACTCAACAAAAACAAAGAAAATAATCCTGTCAAAAAATGAGCAGAAGAGCTAAAAAGAAACTTCTCTGAAGAGGAAATGCAGATGGCCAACAGGCATATGAAAAAATGTTCAACATCACTTGTAATCAGGGAAATGCAAATCAAAACTACCATGAGATACCATCTTACACCAGTGAGAATGGCACATATTAAAAAAACTAGCAACAACAAATGTTGGCGAGGGTGTGGGGAAAAAGGAACTCTTCTGCACTGTTGGTGGGAGTGCAAACTGGTCCAACCACTATGGAGAGCTGTGTGGAGATTTCTGGACCTACTAAACATAGAGCTTCCATATGATCCAGCAATTCCACTCCTAGGTATTTACCCAAAGGACACAGAAACATCAATTCCAAAGAGCACCTGCACCCCTATGTTTATAGCAAATGCCCAAAATGCCTATGTTTATACCCAAATGCCCAAAAATAGATGACTGGATCAAGAAGATGTGGTACATATATACCATGGAATATTACTCAGCATTCAAAAAAGATAAACACATGCAATTTGCAGCAACATGGATAGCACTGGAAGGGATCATGCTCAGTGAAATAAGCCAGAAAGAAAAAGAAAAATACCGGATGGTCTCACTCATAGCAGGAATCTAGAAAACTTAAATAAGGGACCAGGAAAATGAATAACTATAAGAAAGTGAAAATCAAAATCAACAAAAAACTATGAACCAGAGACACTCTATGGGTGGCAGGGGGTGGGAGGGGAGGGATTGGGGTCAAAATAAGGGGGTTGCAATTGTATGGGGAATATAAAAATAAAATTTATTATAAAAAAATTAAAAAAAATTTCCACTAATAAAACTTCCCAGACTTTTAAATTTCCTTAGAATTTATATAGTTTTGGTTGTTGTTGTTATACTTTCAGCCAAATTTTTCACCAATCCATGAAATTAGTTTGTGTTAGTGGTATCCCATATCACTTTGCTTTTTCTTCCAAGGTTTTCCCCTTCTTACTTTATCAGTAGAAGTAGGGCTTAATATACTAGACACACTTCAACTCAGAGACATTTTAATGCCTTTTCAATTTATTTATTTTTAGTTTCTTTTTCAAAATGAATTATTCTGATTTTCCTAGTCTTATACTTTTAATACGAGGACGGATAGCTTTACTTCAAGGTCTTCCTTTGGATCTTGGTTTTGGAAGCTACTATTTGATTTTGATTCTGGGAAGACAACATTTGTCCTCTTCCTTCTAAGTAAGCTCAGATTGTTGTTTTGCCCCCTAATTTTTGTCAGAGGTGAATCTAAGTCCCTCTTCTTTATTCTACCTGGATTTATATAGATACTTTTCAACTTTACCTCTGATGGAGATGAGAATTTTTCCATAATACTTGGAGCGCTAGTTTTCATACTTTCTTCTGGCGGAGGCACTACTACTTCATTTGTTTTTTCATCTGGTACGGCTTTTGATAAGTCTTCCTCTAAAGGTTTTATCTTCTCACTGGTTACTATTATGTCAGGAATAGTGGACGGTGGAGTGTCTGTTTGTTTTGTTGATTCATCACTTTCAGGAGCAAGAGCATCTGAATTATTTTCAGGTGACTGGCTCAAAGTTGGTGAAGTCTGGTCTTTGTTATCATCATTCTCTGGTAACTAGAAAACGTCAATAAACAAGCTACCGATTAAATTCTATCGACTAGAAAATATGTAAAATGAATAAAACTAGACATATTCATCTGTAACCTCTACCCATTATCATAATCAGTTACCAGCAGTATTGGTAAATTGCTGCATTCCTTATTAAAAGAGTTGAGCAATTCCCTTGCCTAAAACCATGGGCTATAGAATATTATCCATAAAAATGATCATATTGCTTTATAAAGCAGTGGTTCTCAAATATTAAGATTTTATATATCGACATCTTAGAAAACTGAGGTGTTTAACATTTTATGATAGTGTCACTAATAGATAATAAAGGAATTTTTTAAATAGCAAAATAACAAAGAAAAATATCATAAAATCACAATATATCATAAAGGAAATGTTAATGACAAAAACAGTACAAGGAACAGTATTGTAAAATAAAGGACAGCTGTCAAGCTAAATGTAGTTGTATGAAAATTTCTCTGTAGTGTCTACTTTTCTCTAATTACTTGGATTGGGGAAAGCAGCACATACTGAATCTTCAATTGGTATTTGGGAATCACTGACCTAGGGTGGAAATAATTAACTATTATTTGCTAAGAAGTATTGAAGAATCTTTTACTCTATTGATTTGTGTTTGTAATGATCTACTGCTTTACAGAATAAGTACCTTCCGTAAAGTTAGCTGAGAAGCAAGGATTACATGAACTTGAATTTTTATTTATTTCTATTATAAAATAGATTACCCCATAAAAGTTTATAACGTTAAAAGATTTAGATGAGAAAGAGTAAAGAATGTAGTTAGATCTCTGGCATCCATTTCCAAGAACATTAAACAGAATTTATGCCTTTTTTATTCTTGTTTTCCTCTTTTTTAATCTTTATGTATATTTTTAAATGTTATTTAAAGGAATATTACATGCTGAAAGTTCCCTTTGAAGAGTGTACTTTAACTTAACTTTCTGTAACAATACAATACAGAAATTGCCATAACAGAAATAATCATGAAAACCTGAATAACTTGAGTGCTTTTTTCTTTCCATTTATAAAATAAATATGTCATCTCTTCACAAACTAGTGACTATTAGAAGTTCTCTTTCAAGTTCACTTACCTTACTTGGAACAGTTTTAGCTTCTTCCTTTAAAAGAGGGACATCTGTTAAGAAATTAATAGGAGTATTTTATTATACATAAAACTATAAACACAATTTATATGTATGTATACTAATAAAATACTATTGTAATTTTTCTCATGAAGAACAAAGAGCAATTTAAATCAAAGCAGCTGCTTAAACATAAATATTTAGTAAAAACAGGTTGGTGAATCTCTGGAAATATGGGGGAGTGGCAAATGAACAAGTATGGAAATAAAATGAAAACATTGTGATAAGATTTCAGATCCACTCATGTAAGACATAAGAACAGGTATAGACTATATTTTATCAACAGTCAAGAGGAAATAAATCACCGATGGCCAGTGATGGGGTTGTGATTGGAAAAGGAGACTAGAATAAAGTTGTAAGCTTTCAAATTGACTACTAATTTATTTCCTGTCTCTCCTCATGCCACTACATAAAAGAGACCAACAGCTTTAGTTTACAATGTTAGCAAAAATACCTTTTCATAGATCATATTTGAGACTTAAACTTTTTTTGTGTGTACTTTTTTTATTTATTTATGCATTACAAGAGTTAGAGTACAGGCCAGAGGTGTGGGGGATTCACCAGATATAGAGTGGGGAATAGAACAGGCAGATGGACTGGAGTACACTACTGAGGAGAGCAGAGGGCGAGTCAGGAGACGTCTGCTGTGCCATGTGGGTTGCTCCCTGGCAGGGGTTCAAACTTGTGCTATAGAGGCTGCTGACAGCTTCATAGGTTGCATCTTAACCTTTGTGCCACCTGGGAGGCCCCATTTTTGTGTGTACTCTTAAAGGAGCAAAGATGAATTAAAAAATAAATATAATTCTTATTGGGCCTGTCTTTGGCATGTTATAAAATAAATACTGTATACCAAAACTGTAATTAAAGGCATACTTATTCTCTAACAAAATGAAATCCATTTTCTTGTAATGTGACCACACTATTTTTAATTATCTTAACATTAAATATAGAAATAAACTAGTTTCTTAACCTGATGTTGCAGAATCTTCCCACATCTCTTTATATTGCTTTTCAAATTCCTCACTGGTAATACTTTCCTAGAAGCAGAAAAGAAAGAAGGAAAATATGTTCGGATAATGTATAAAAAACTAAAACATTTTTCTCTGCCTTTATATCTTCTTTTAATGTTTTTTTTTTTTTTAAAAGATTTATTTATTTTGGGCCTCCCCAGTGGTGCAGTGGTTGAGCGCTGGGCTGCAAGGCTGCCCGCGGCCTCTGCAGTGCCGGTTCGATCCCCAGCCGCCGGCGAGGGTCCCACATGGCTCGCAGACCTCTCCTGCCGTGCCCGCTGCTCCCCTCAGCAGTGTGTTTCATCAGTCTGCCTGTTCTGCTCCCCGCTCTGGCTCTGGTGAGTTCTCTCACCCTCCCACGTGCTTCTGACTGTACCCAGTGCTTGTGTAAATAAATAAATAAACAAAAAAGATTTATTTATTAACTGCAGCACCAGTTTGATCCCCGGCCACTGGGCGAGGGTCCCACATGGTGCACAGACCTCTCCTGCCACCCACTGCTCCCCTCAGTAATGTACTTCGTCAGTCTGCCTGTTCTGCTCTCTGCTCTGGCTCTGGTGAATTCTCTCACCCTCCCGCGCTTCTGACTGTTACCCAGTGCTTGTATAAATAAATAAATAAAATCTTAAAAAAAAAAAAAAAAGAAATCCTGACTCCTTTCTTTATTAAAAAAAAAAAAAAGAACAATGCTAAATGAAAGAAGTATGCCACAAAAGACTACATATTAAAAAATTTCATTATATGAAATATCTAGAATAAACAAATCTATAGAGACAAAAAGTACATCTAGTTTTTAGTTGTTGCCCAGGGCCTGGGGGAATGGTGAATTTGGAGAGTATTGGCTAAGGTGTGAGGCTTCTTCTAAGGGTAATGAGAATATTCTAAAATTGATTATAGCAATGAGTGCAGTTTCATGACTAGACTAAAGGTCGCTGAAGTATATACTGTAAACGGGTGACTAGTATGTGAAATATATTGCACAGACACTATAAACGAATTTTCATAAGTTATCAATCAACATGTATTGAATGTCAATTATCAAATAAGAAAGTACATGAACCATGAATGACATTTTATATGCTGAGAACAAATAAGCAATTCTGATCCTCACTTTCAATTATAATAATCTTTTTTAAAAACAAAAAGTATTGAAAGCTATGTAAGGGAAAACATGTTAATTACCTCAGATTCTTTATGTTCCAATTTTGGGGTAAGAATACGTTCTAAATAGTTAACTTTTTCTTTCCAAGTACCCAGATTTCTATATTCCTTCTTCATTTTTTCAAGCCTAAAGGAATAAATCAATTATAAATTTATACTTATATAAGGATCTAGATAGATTATAGCTATTAAAAAGTGACACAAGAATATATAGACTATAATTCTCAGAAGAATACAAACAGTATGATCCATTTAAAAAAGTTCTAAAAAGGGGAAAGCCAATAACATATCACTTAGGTACACAAAGGAAAAGGTATGATTACAACAAAAATCAGGGTAGAAGTTACATGGGAAAGGTGAGGAGAGGAATGTAATCTCTGAAGAGCACATAAAACACATTACTGATATTCTTAACCTGATTTGTGAATATCTAGGTAATGGTCTTATTATCTTTAAATTATATATAAATGTTTTAGAACATGTTTTTAAAATATTTGTATATCTCTCAAGCATATGTAAAACATGTCACATATATTACTTGATCATATATCTATACATATATTATTCAATACATATCGCTTCATTATTTAAACTATGTGTATATATTTTATGTTATAAATTATTCAGCGCATATATGATATCTCCCACAATAAAACAAATGAAAAAATAGGCATTTCTAATCCAAGAAACTTCAAAAGGCTTTAAATCTAAAGATGCAATTGATGAGAATTAAATAGAAAAGAGTAATTATCAATTCATTTCATGAGGGTACTATGACTTTGATAATAAGAACATTCCAACAAAAGAAAGATTAATCATCCTCATGAACCTAGATGCTAATGTTACAAATAAAATATGGCTTAATACAAAAATAAAATGATAAAAGACAATATACCACAAATAAGTTGAGTTTATTCCAGGGAAAAAGGGTATCTTTAGAAAATTAGAAAATTATAATCTAAATATAACTTAGTATATTAAAAGTGAAAGAGCATTTGGCAAAGTCCAAAAATACCTATATAAATATTTCTCTTGTTTAAAGATCAGGAACAGAACAAAAATGAAGAGTAAGGATTGGGAATAAAAAAAAAACATTTGTTATTTATAGATCATATGATTATTTAAATAAATTCCCCCATATAACACTATAAAGTATTATAGAAATATGAAAATTTAGCAAAAGAGGGGAGTCCAGAGAAGACAATGGCAGTAGGAATACCATAGAAATTGAGTCTTTTCAAGGCTCTACATAAAAACACTCAAGAGTATCTAGGTAGCAGACCCAAAATTCTATAGAAACATTTACAACAATGTGTGTGTGTGCATGTGTGCGGGTGTGCGTGTGCATGTGTGTGTGTGTACGCACTCGTAAGCACCTCCTTCTTAGTTTCAGTATGCGGAAGGCATAAAAGTGACAGGCATAAAAGGGTCATCTGATAAACCTGAGATTAAGAAAAATAGTCAACAGGTAGTTACAAGAAAACCGGACCAGTTTGAGAACAGCAGTTGTAACTGGGTTTTGCTCATTCCAATAGTAGGTAAATACAAAGGATTCATGGGAAAAACTAAAAGTGAACTTCCACTTCTGTGAATGATCAAACTGAACAACCATGACTCTAAGCCAGGATAAAAAATCGTGCAACAGACTACTCAGATATTAAAAGGATGAAATAGTGCCTTTGGCTCTTGAGGTGATTATGCTAAGTGAAATAATGCAGAAATTGAAAGACAATTTCACTCATTTGTGGAATATAAACAAATAGAAAACACAACAAAAATAATTCTTTTTTTTTAAATCTGATATTTTTGAAACAAATACCCAGTTATCTCTTCTTTTTTTTTTTAAAGATTTATTTTTATTTATTTATTCATACAAGCACTGGGTACAGTCAGAAGTGCGGGAGGGTGAGAGAATTCACCAGAGCCAGAGCGGGGAGCAGAGCAGGCAGAAGGACCGAAGTACACTGCTGAGGGGAGCAGCGGGCGGCAGGAGAGGTCTGCGCGCCATGTGGGACCCTCCTCTGGTAGCCGGGGAGCAGCCGGGGATCGAACCGGTGCTGCAGAGGCTGCGGGCAGCTTCACAACCCAGCGCTCAACCGCTGCGCCACTGGGGAGGCCCAAAAATAATTCTTAAATAAAATTTAAATTAAAAAAATAAAAGAGTTCGACCTCTAGCTGGGGTTAAAAAAAATAATTCTTAGATTTAGGGGAAAATATAATGGTTATCTGAGGGGATGGAGAGGAGAAAGGAGAAGATAGGGAGGGAATGTGACTATATCTTGGCACTAAGGCTTTGATGGAAGGTGAGTTAAATATTCACATATGAAGGTGTGAAGTTGTAATTTCAAAATTACATAATTGTGTGAATGACTTGTAATTCAATAAAATGGAGGGGGGAGATGAGCTTGGAGATAGATATAAAAGGATGGGGGAACTCAGATTTTGGATCCTGCCAAAGATGAGAAGACACAGTAAACACCTAGTTGGATATTAAAGGGTTATACACCAAAAGTACCTCCTTAAACAGTTCTTCCAGTCCTGATAATAAGATTAAGAAAAAACCAGAAAAAGACTAATGCTAAAGCCCAAATAATTTCAATCTCAATCATAATTAAGGCAATTTGAGATTGCTAGTATCACTAGCCTAGCTGGCTGCCATATACAAAGGTGTATCTTCTGTATAAGAATATATAAGCAGGGCCTCCCCTTGGTGGCACAGGTGGCTGAGAGCAGTGCTGTGAAGCTGTCTGCAGCCTCTGCAACGCTGGTTCCATCCCGATTGGCCGGCAAGAATCCCACATGGTGCAGCAGACCTCTCCTGCCTCGTCCGCTGCTCCCCTTAGTAGTGTATTTCAGTCACTCTGCCTGTTCTGTTCCCTGCTCTGTCTCTGGTGAGTCCTCTCACTCTCCCGCACATCTGGCCTGCACCCCAGTTCTTGCATGCATGAATAAATAAATCTTTATAAAAAAATTAACTAAAAAATATAATCAAAAGCCTCAAATAAGTCTACAGATTTTAAAATAAAGTATCTAGAAATTAAGGAAAATAAGCATATATAAGAGTATAAGATTTATCTAAAATCTAAGAGAAAAAAGACATTAGAAATAGACTTACACGCAGTCCAATGGAGTTATCAGAGATGAACTTTGAAACAGCAATTATCAAATAATTAAAAGATAAGACTGGATTTTTTGATAGAGAAGTGGAAACTATAATACAAAGAAAAATTCCATAACTGAGAAGGAACATAACCGAATTGAAGTATTCAATTGGTGTAATGGAAGATTAGAAGAAGAAAGAATCAGTGAATTATAAGATAGGCCTAAAGAAAAGATCTAGACTGAAACACAGGGTAAAAGGAAGGGAAATAGAGAAATGAGCATAAGAGGCATGTGGGATATATTGTTGACTGAAAAAAGCAGAGCAAATATTATAAGTGAATTCTCATTTTTTTCTTGCCATAGCATTGACTTTTTAAAACAAACACCTAAATATGATAATTAAAATTCAGGAATAACCTCTGAACCCATGAAATATCACTGCAATGAAGGTTTCTGGACCAATAACAAGCCCATGTTTCAAGGCAAAAAAAAATTAATAGCCAGCACATAAATTAGAAAATTTTTTTGTTTTGTTCTTACCTTTCCCGAGGTTGTTGCTGAAGCTTTTCAAGGTGGGGGACAGATGGCTGACTGGTTTTGGACACTACAGGTGGCAGCCCAACAGTAACATTCAAGTCTGGGGATAAGAATGCTGGATATTCTACTGACCGTGGTATAATAACATTTCTGCAAAATGGTAATAAATGTTGAAATTTTATAAAAGTAACTTCTAAATTCAGTGCAGGTATCACTGAATCATTTTTTATTGTAGTCTCTCATCAGTAACTGTAAGGTTCAGACTACTGAGAAGAGCAATCACAGAGTTCTTAAAGGATTTGGGGGCTCCCCTGACAAATTTATTGCTTATAGTCATGGTGAAAGGTGTGTTTTGGAGCCGCCCAAGGCAAATGAGTAGACATTAAGTGACAAATCCATTCTAACATTCCAATCTCCCTAAGCCCTAAAATCCCTTCTAATGTAGAACCCTTTACATTAAGCTAAAGAAGATCTGGTATTTCTAACTCGCTCATTGTAGGCCACCTTTGGGTCCTCACGCAGTCAATAAACCAAACAAACTTAGAGCCCTTCCTATCTCCCCATGTTGTAACATTAAATGCATAATTTTCTTAGTGAATTCATATCAATAAATTTAGCCTGATCCCACTTGAATGTTCCTTCCACCAATCTCCCACATCCTTAATATCTATTTCCACACATGTTCCCTAGATTTCTGTCTCTATAAATTAGGAAGCTCAAGTAGTTCTTTTGGGAGTGTAATGCATCTCCTCATGGATCACATTTTGTACATCACTGATGGGACTTGAATCTGGTTAAAAATGTAGAAGCAAAGAAAGGAAGTGGGGATGGGTCCTGCAGAGGGTCAACATTGTTTGGCATGGTGACTTCCTCGGAGGAGGCCATTACGTTTTCCTAAGCAATGCAGTTTTAATCCCCTCAGATGGAGAAAAGCACTGTGATGGCTGTTACAACTGGTGATGTCACTTTTGCTGAGGTCACTTCCACTAGTAAAGAAAATAGATCAGAATTTAGGAATCAATGTCCCTAGCTTCATCGGGGTATTTCCTAATATTCTCATTCCAATTTTCAGGATCCCACTTATTCTCAATCAGTTCCTTAATTTCAACAGTATTTAGCTTGTGAGGTTGGGAAGTCAACTTGCATTGTAATTCAGTGGCGTAATGATATGATAAAATTCTAGATTTGATTTTCAGTCATTTCAGTCCTGTGCCTACAGGAAATAAATCTCCTTCGGGCCCACATACAAGACTTTTCAGATCATTTATGCAATGTTTGATCTTGGAATTTGAAGCTGTGAGCTCATCCTTTCCTTTCTTGATTCTGCCCTACAACATGAGCACCCAGTCAATATTATATTCTCTATTTTATTAAAACCTGAAAGTATTATATACACAGTCACTCAGATCTTTGCTTCTTATAAATATTATGGTGATTTTGTATGTTTATTGCCAGATCAAGCCATGACTATCATTGTCCTTTTTTTCTACTAGAAATGGACGTACTGGATTTAAAGATTTATTATAATGTTTTTTCTTACATCATTGTTAATTTTTGGACAGTCTGATTTCTCTCCTTTGGTGTAGTCCCCATAGTTCTACCACCAAAGCATCTGTGATCCATCACCACAGTCCCTTGTGCTTTTCCCTCCCCTGTTTTGACCCCTCTTCCTTCCCCTCCATCCCTTTTTCTGCTGTATATCTCTGATCTACGGTCAGCTTACAAGTTTTGTCTTTCATCTTTTCCTGACAATTTGGTTTCTCTATACTCTGCATATAAGTGAAGCCATCCAGTATTTATTTTTTCTCTTGATTTATTTCACTTAACATAATCCCACCTCATCCATGTTGTTGCAAATAGCATAAGTTTATGTTTTTTTGATTGCTGAGTAGTATCCCATTGTGTACATACATAACTTTTTTTTTCTTTTTTTTCTTTTTATTTAAATAATAAATTTTATTTTTATATTCCCCATACAATTGCAAACCCCCCATTCTGACCCCAATCCCTCCCCTCCCGCCCCCCACCCCCAAAAAGTGTCTCTGGTTCATAGTCTTTTGTTGATTTTGATTTTCACTTTCTTATATTCATTTTCCTGGTTCCTTATTTAAGTTTTCTAGATTCCTGCTATGAGTGAGACCATCCGGTATTTTTCTTTTTCTTTTTGGCTTATTTCACTGAGCATGATCCCTTCCAACGCCATCCATGTTGCTGCAAATTGCATGTGTTTATCTTTTTTGAATGCTGAGTAATATTCCATGGTATATATGTACCACATCTTCTTGATCCAGTCATCTATTTTTGGGCATTTGGGCTGTTTCCAAAGCTTAGCTATTGTAAATAGTGCTGCTATAAACATAGGGGTGCAGGTGCTCTTTGGAATTGATGTTTCTGTGTCCTTTGGGTAAATACCTAGGAGTGGAATTGCTGGATCATATGGAAGCTCTATGTTTAGTAGGTCCAGAAATCTCCACACAGCTCTCCATAGTGGTTGGACCAGTTTGCACTCCCACCAACAGTGCAGAAGAGTTCCTTTTTCCCCACACCCTCACCAACATTTGTTGTTGCTAGTTTTTTTAATATGTGCCATTCTCACTGGTGTAAGATGGTATCTCATGGTAGTTTTGATTTGCATTTCCCTGATTACAAGTGATGTTGAACATTTTTTCATGTCTGTTGGCCATTTGCATTTCCTCTTCAGAGAAGTTTCTTTTTAGCACTTCTGCCCATTTTTTTGACTGGATTATTTTCTTTGTTGTTGCTGAGTCTCATCAGCTCTTTGCAGATTTTTGTGATCAGTCCTTTATCATTAGTGTTGGGTGCAAAAATGTTCTCCCAGTTGGTGGGGTTTCTCTTTGTTTTTGTTATTGTCTCTTTTGCTGTGCAGAAGCTCTTTAATTTGATGTAGTCCCAGCTGTTTATCTTTGCCTTCACTATCACTGCTTTGGGTGATGTGTCTGTAAAGATGTCTTTGATGTGCAAGTCCCGTAGTGTTTCGCCTATATTTCCTTCTACATACATAACTTTTTGATCCATTCATCTGTTTTGGGACATATCTTGGCTGTTGTAAATAGCACTGCAATAAACACAGGAGTGCAGGTTTCCTTCTGAATTAGTGTTTTTGTGTCCTTTGGATAGATTCCTAGGAGCGGAATCACTCGATCATGAGTTCATTTTTAGTGCTTGAGGAACCTCCACACAGTTTTCCATAGTGGCTGGAGCAGTTTGCATTCCCACCAGCAGTGCAAAAGGGGTTCCTTTTTTACCACAAGCTTGCCAGAATTTGTAGTTTGTTATTTTTAATATGGGCCATTCCCACAGGTGTAAGGTGAAATCTCACTGTGGTTTTGACTTGCATTTCCCTGATAAGGGATATTGAACATTTTTCTCATATGCCTGTTGGCCACTGGCATTTCTTTTTTGGAGAAATGTCTTCTTAGCGCTTCTACATGTTTTGATTGGGTTGTTTGCTTTGTTTTTGTTGAGTTGTGTAAGTTCTTTGTAGATCTTTACTATCAGTTCCTTATCAGATATATGGTGTGCAAGTATTTCTCCCATACAGTAGGGTATCTTTCATTTGGTTGCTGTCTCTTTTCCTGTATAAAAGCTTTTTAGTTTGATGTAGTCCCAGCTGTTTATTCTCATTTGCTTTCCTTGCTTCTGGAGACAAGTCCTCAAAGATGTTTCTGAAGTTTATGTTACAGAGTATTTTGCCTATGTTTTCCTCTATAAATCTTACATCCAAGGCTCTTATCCATTTTGAGTTGATTCATGTGTGTGGTCTGAGATAGTCTAATTTCATTCTTTTGCATGTGACAGTCCAGTTTCCCCAGCATATTTATTGAAGAGACTTTCCTTGTTCCAATATTTATTCTTTGCTCCTTTGTCACAGATTAGTTGACTGTATATGTGAAGTTTCATATCTGGGCTTTCAACTCATTCCACTGGTCAGTTTGTTTTTATTCTAGTACCATGCCGTTTTTATTATGGCTTTGTAGTATAGTTTGAAGTCTGGCAGTATAATGCCTTCATTGTTTCCCTTTTTAGTCAGAAGGGCTTTCGCTCTTCAGGATCTTTGTGATTCCATATAAATTTCAGCAATATTTGTTCCATTTCTTTGCAGAATGTCATTGAGATTTTTACTGGAATTGCTTTGGGTAGGATGGCCATTTTGATAATGTTCATTCTTCTGGTATATAAGCAGGGAATATCTTTCCATTTTTTGGGCATCTTTTATTTCTTTTAACAATATTTTATAAATTTTTATGTATAGTTCTTTTACCTTCTTTATTAGTTTTATTTCCAGGCATTTAATTGGGGGGGGGGTACAATTGTAAATGGAATGGCTTTCTTACTATCTCCCTTTTCAGACTGTCTGCATGTAGTAAGGCTAATGATTTTTGTATATTGATTTTGTAACCTGCTACTTTACAGAACTGATTTGTTTTTTATTAGTTTTTGTCACTGATTTTTTTTTGGGGGGGGATTCTAGTCTATCATCTGCAAATAGTTATAGCGTTACTTCTTGATTCTTTTTACATCTTTCTCTTGCCTAATTGCTCTAACTAGTACTTCTAGTATTATATTGAAAAGCAGTGGTGAGAATGGACATCCTTGTCTTGTTCCAGATATAATTGGAAAGACTTTCAATTTTTCACCATTGAGAATGATACTGACTGTAGGTTTGGCATATATGGCTCTTATTAAGATATGTTCCTTTTATCCCAAGTTTTTCCAGGGCCTTTATGGTAAGTGAATGTTGAACTTTATTAAATGCTTTCTCAGCATCTATTGATAGAATCCTATGGATTTTGTTTTTCTTTTTGTTGATGTGTTGAATTACATTAATTGACTTTTGGATGTTGAACCATTCTTGTGTCCCTGGAATAAATCCCACTTGGTCATAGTGCATAATTCTTTTTGTATACTGTTGGATACTGATATATTGTTGGATACTGCTTGCTAAGATTTTATTGAGGATTTTATCAGTGATCATTAAGGAGACCGATATGTAGTTTTCTTTTGTGTTGTCTTTTTTGATTTTGACATTAGTGTGATGTTGGCCTCATAGAATGTATTTGGTAGCATTCCTTCTTTCTCAATTTTTTGAAAGAGTTTTAGCAGGATAAGCATTAGTTCATTTTTAAATGTTTTCTTTGTGAGCCTGGATAGAGGGGCCAGATCTCATTTATCTTTATATCTGCAATACCTTGAGAGTACAACAGACATACAATAAATAGCTACTGAATCAACAGACAGGTAAGGAAATAATACAAGAAAAACATTCAACTTAATTTCAACAAATCACCAATTATCAAATGGACTAAGTTTATTTTTAATGATAATACCCAATATTGGTGAGACAAGAAGACAGTTAAGTACTTCAGAAAATAATTTTATATACTATGTCTAATTCACTCCATCCCATTTCAGAATTTTTCCATTTCTTATTATTGATAGCACTGTAGATTAAGTCTCTTTCTCGGGTGCTCATTTTTCTTTGATCTATTTTTACTGTTGAAATTTCAAGAACAGTAGACACTGCATCTTAAGTTATTTTCAGTTTGCTAAAGAATTTTTTGACCATAGATATTTTGCTGAAGATTTCAAAGCAACAATTAGTGTGTGTGGAAGTTGGGGTAACAGAAAAATGACAACTATTAGATACCTGAATCTTAAAAGTCCTTCCCTGCTTCCTACAAAAGGAATATCTCATTGGCCATCATTCACCAGACTGCCCCTCCTTTCCCTCTTTCAGTCATGAAATTGGCACTCTTTCTTTCCTTTTTCTTATTGTTAGCTCTCCTCACCTCCTTTCTCCACTACTACATGCAGAAACTATATATTTCTCCCCCCTTATTAAGCAAACAATTCTTTGCTTGTTTTACTTCAGAGTCTTAAAACATTCTAGTCATGTTTTAAGAAAAGAAAAATGTGCTATCAATGGATTAAATGTGTTAAGTGCCACATGAGCAGATTATGGTATAAGACTTCAAATACTTACGTTACAGGATCTGTTCTTTCTGGAGGTGGTGCAATATTCAGAAACATGGATCGCTCGATCATTTTCTGAAGAGGTTTTAACTGAAGAAAACAGTAAGTATGTCTTAACGCTGTTTAGTTACAATTATATTTTACCCTAATACCACTACCCCCAGGATATGTGGAATAGCCTTAAACGATGTATATGAGGAGAAGAGGAAAGAAGAGAGAATGAATATTCACTGAGTACTATATATCTGCCAAGAATCACATATCTTAAATCTTATCTCATCCTCTGAACAATCCTATGAGGTAGCTAACGACATATTTTGCAGATAATACTAAACATCAGCCATATGTTTAAGGTTACCCAATAGCCATGAGAGTCAGGATTTGAATGCAAAATTATCTGCATCCAATGTAGTACTCCTTTATATTATTATGATTGGTAAGTAAAATTCACTACATTGCTGAAAATAATGGAGTTGAACTTTTATTACATTTACCATTCTTTTCCACATAATACCTTTGTTCTATGTTCTTAGTAGAAAATCCACCTACCTAAAATAATAATTGCCCAATTTTATTTGAAAACATTGAGCCCTAAGAATGGGATTGTTATAGTCAGACACTAACTCTACCTCTAAAGTTGGTGCTCAAAAGATACAACTGTCACATAAGGGACAAAACAATTAGAGGTCCCCTAAGGCCTGATTCATGAAAAGAGAACACAGAAAACAGGCAGAAGAAAAAGAAAGAAAAATCAAAGTAAAGAAGGGGGAAAAAAACCAAGTGTATGTGTAGTGGTTTTCTTGTGTGTATTATTTCTGACTTACTTATGTCATTATGACATACCGTAGGCAAAATTTTAAAATACATTTACAAGGATTTCTCAGTTAATATAACAGTAGACTTATTTAATAAAACTCAGGTAACACACCCTCAATTTCTAATTTAAAAAAATCCCACAACTATAAAAAATAGCAAAAGCCAGAAATGAAAGATTATATGCAAAAGTTAAGGGTCATTTCCCTTATATAAAAGCACTAATGGGCCAGATTTATAAAAATCCCAAAGTTCTGATATACCCTAGGGGTACTGAAATTCATTTAAACACTTGGTAAGAATATATATTGGCACTACTTTTTTAGAACAATTCTTGAAAAGGTCATTGTGTTGGACAACAATTTCCATTCTGGGAATCTTATAAGGACATAAAGAAAAAGCACATATGTTACTGTAAAATATTTTCACTGCAGCATTGCTATGTGTAGTGAATTTAAAAGGGTGAATCAAAACTAGTAAAATATCTTCTTTGGGCATAATACTTCATGAATTAAGGAGGATTCAAGTAATACCAAATGTTGAAACAATAATAAAGGGAGTAAAGGTGATCAGAATACAAAATATATCTGAATATCATCAATGATCCTATTTTAATAGGTATTTTAGCTATAAAAATCCATGCACACTTCTTGAATATGTAAATAAATTTTTAAAGTTATATGAATATGTGTGCACACACACAAAAACAAGTTTTATTATAATAAACATCTTTTGTAAGATCATTTTAAATGTATAAGTAATGGTAAAGTCTTAATTTTCTTTAGGCTGGAGAAAGAATTCTTTAAAAAACATTTAAATTTGGGCCTCCCTGGTGGTGCAAGGGGTTAAGACACAACCTATGAAGCTATCCACAGCCACCGCAGCATGAGTTCGATCCCCCTGCCAGGGAGCTACCCACATGGCGCAGCGGACCTCTCCTGGCTCACCCACTGCTCCCCTCGGCAGTGTACTTCGGTCAATCTGCCTGTTCTGTTCCCCACTCTGTCTCTGGTGAATCCTCTCACCCCCACACACACACACCTCTGGCCTGTACCCCAGCTCTTGTATGCATAAATAAATCTTTAAAAAAAATTTAAATTTATAAAACTAGAAGGATAGAGACTCAGAAGCTAATGAACTGATGAGCTGTAATAAAATAATTTTTAAAAGGGAAACTAACCTGGTGTGAATATCCATAACCAAAGTTTCCATATGAGAACATAAATTCCACCTCCAGTCTGCAGACAAACTAAACATTTGGCAATTAATTTTATTATTTGATCAGAAAGATATTTTAATGGTGATGTGATAGAAGATTTCTAAGTCAGAAAAACAAAGTTTCTGAAATGTGAAAGCTAATATTAAAAGTTTAAATGTGGAAAACATCTATTTAAAATTGTTAATAGGACTGTGCTGAGATACATACTTTATTGTATGTGCACATAGGAGTGTATGTACACATATATACTTAAAGTACTTACTAACTTCTTCCACCTCCACTTACATTTTCAGGTATAATTTTAATTTAGAAAAGTGATACTCTGGGCCTCCCCGGTGGCGCAGCGGTTGAGCGCTGGGTTGCGAAGCTGCCCGCGGCCTCTGCGGCGCCGGTTCGATCCCCGGCTGCTCCCCGGCCACCAGAGGAGGGTCCCAGATGGCGCGCAGACCTCTCCTGCCGCCTGCTGCTCCCCTCAGCAGTGTGCTTCGGTCCTTCTGCCTGTTCTGCTCTCCGCTCTGGCTCTGGTGAATTCTCTCACCCTCCCACGCTTCTGACTGTACCCAGTGCTTGTATGCATATATGTATAAATCAATCAATCAATCAATAAATAAATATTTAAAAAAAAAAAAGAAAAGAAAAGTGATACTCTTTCTGCACTCCACATTGTTCTTAAGTGAAGTGAGGTTTTAACTTCAAATGTCCATCACTCTGTTTTTCATGCTTGTTGTCCCTGGTTTGGCTATGGGCAGAAGCCTCTCTAATAGAAGATAAGTACATAAAAGATAAATCTTAAGTACATAAAAAGGAATTTAAGTAAAAGCTCTAAGCATCTTTTTAGAAATTCCTCCAGGAAAAAGGCATTTCCTCCACTCGGCAAGTGAGGCTGCAGGGCTACGCAGTCAAACCAGCACTGGGGCATTTTGCTCTCACCTAATGGTTTCTAATGTTCTTGTTCATCTTTTGCCAGTAAGATAGCATTTAAAAGGGGCTGGAGATGAAAGTTTTGTGAGCAGATACTCTGCTTTCTATTTAGTACGTTTCCATGAATGCCAGCAGTGACTTGTAGGGTAACAAAAAGAATAAAAACAGGTATGCTACAAACAATATCAGAGTCAAGATATATGATATGTTAAGCATATGCAAAAAATGTTGAAAGTTTTAGTGAAGTACTTACTGTGTTTTTATTGTACACTTGAAGATCTTCAGTAAAGGATCCTTTCTAGAAAAAAAATAATAAAAATGTTTAAATACAAAATCATTCGTGGAGTCATCTGTATATTATCTACACCATCTCAGAAATTTAAAAATATCAGTGATAATTTTTAATGCACATATGAATTTAGAGGTAAAACACAAATATAATGAATATTTGGAAGACAATGAAAATTCTAGATACATATAACAGAAATAAATGACGCTAATAGTTACAGCGGACCATTTTGGAAATATCAGAGGCTTCATCATGCCTGTACTACCTTTGGGAGGTTACTTAAACATAAACCTGCAAGAGGACCTGATTCCCAACAGATGAGAGTTCCTTTCTCATCTCCAAGACTATTGGAATCTTAATTAGGTAAACTTTTAATATCCTTGTTAACCATCTTTGGTCACCTCTGCTCTGCTGTCAGTTCACCCAGCTGTTCCAACATCCCATCATTCCCATTCTCCCCAGCATTTCCCACTGTAGCTCTTGGAATCCCCACTCCCTGCTTGATAAATATTCTTAAAATTCACTGAACATTTGTCCTTTATTCTACCTGGGACATAGCTCACCACTAAAGGACGCTGCTCTCCTGAGTGAATGCTCACATACCTCAAGGTCAGGGAGTGACCTTCTATGACCTTCTATGATGCTTCCTCATCATGTTATTTCAGGTAGATACAATTTTCCTTCTTTAAGTCTCATGCTATCTTGCATGTCTTTCAGACATTCTGAACATTAATCCTCTTTTAGTGAAAACTTTGGTACCTGGCTTGTATGTTCTCTGTCCTCCCCAAAAAGTAAATCTATTTAAACGGGCACTCTCAATTCCTGATGAGGCATTTTTAGGTTAAATGGATTAATCAGGCTTTTTAATGCCACTAGCCTCTGTGGCTATCACCTGTGGCCTTGATTGTGTTAACGCAAAAGGCGCTTGGGAGCATGGGTGCCAGGCATGGGTGCCTGACTGTGGACACCTGTGCCTCGAGGCTGGGCTACTGGGGCCGTGTCACTCAGATAGAAGAGGGCTACCAGAGAATGGCTAGGAGAGGACGAGGGCAGTGACTACAGAAGAGGCGAGACCACGTACGATGCCAGAGAGAGCCCAGATAAAGAGTGTAAAGATTTGCAGGGCCTGGGAGGCTCAGTTGCTTGCCTGCCTCCCCTTTGCCCAGCCTGTGCCTGGTTCCTTGCATGCCAGCCTCCATACTGGTGTGCCTGCGCACCTGGTTCCCTGAGAGAACATCAAAGCCTGAAAAATCTGCCAAGGGCTTCTGGACTCTCCTTATCTGTCTGCCTGAAATCGACAGTCAACCTGCCTGTGCTTGCTTGTACAACACACTATAATGAAGGAAGTCACTTAGGTGGTGGTACAATTACAGGCATACAAAATTAGCACCTCATATACATTCTTCAAGTAAACTTCCAAGATTTTTCAGAAAATCCATAAATAACAAATTGATTTCCTCAGTGATCCTATCAACCCGCTCTTACAACTTCTTGCTTTTGACAGTTTCCCTTTGACAAAAGCGAAACTTTTTTTGCTTAATCTACCTATCCCTTTGACAAAAATGCAACTTATTGCTTAATCTACCTATCTTTAATTAAACTTTCCATTACACCTCTATTTTAAATGTCTTTGAGTTAATTTTGGAGGTTCCACTGAGATTTGCACAGTCGAGTTTTTTCATTTGGGCAAATTAAAATATTTAATCTGAATGCATTTCATCTAAATCCACTTGAGTTTTCAAGGTGCCCTCCCTGAGCTCAGTGGTGAGTTTCAGTGTGCAGCAATGAGCTTTTGGCTCTCAGTCTGAATATGGTTCTGCTCTGGCCAAAGCAAATTACAAGGCTACATCTGATGGGGGAGGAGTGGGGTGTGATGTGCAGATCACCCAAAGGTATACCTACAGTGAGTGTCATCTCTAGGGAGAGTTACTCTAACAACTTTCTACAATTCTAAATTCTCTACTGCCTTTCTTAATTACAATGTTCCTGCCTAAATGTTAAATTTATCTCTTAGTCCTAGGCTCATCTGGTAAGGGTCCGATAGTCAAACCAGTGAGCACAACTGGCACTATAATTCATCCCAAGTCTTAAAAAAAAATCACATTACCTTTTATAATGAAAACAAATACTATGAACTCCAATATACTTATATGCCTTAATTAGACCCCAGGCCTTAATCGTTTGCTGATGTTTCTGGCTTATCCCAGTGCCTCAAAGGAGAGCCCAAGACATATCAGAGATTGGAAGGAACACAGAATTAGTGATACAAACAACACATCGACTTTTTTATATATCTGTACAAAACCTATTATATGATTTATTTAATTCAATTCAAGGTCTTTGTCCTCCATAATCAGGCCAATTTACATTTAGAAAGCAATTGATACTAACTGGTAATCATAAACAATGTTCGTGTCCTCTCAATGTACGCCCACAGGATAACTGCAATTAAATGCCCCTCCTTGCTTCTAATGTGATTGGTAGTTTGTGTCTGGCCAACTCATCTAAGCACTAGATTTTACTAGTCTGCATAAGGATATCTGTCCTTGTTAGCAGTTCTAGAACTAATGAAATGGCCTACAGTCTACCCCTCCCAGGAACACAAATACTGAATACAGCTCAGGCTTTAGAGATCACACAGATTGTTGGCTAGAACCATTCTAGATGATAAAATTATCCATTATCTTTCATTATCAGTTGTGGTGGAGTCTGGGCAGTAAGCTATATATTTTGTTGTACCTAGATAAGCACTTCAGAAAAAGTGAAATAATTCAATAAATCTAAAAGTCCTCATGAAAAAATAATGAACATTATTAGCTACTAGGGATTGCAAATTAAAACCACAATCAGATACCACCAAATATGTTTGTAAACTCTGTTCAAACCTTTGGCTGGCCATTAAGCAACACTTGTACAGGGCAATTTGCAAGGAGGCCACCTAAGGATTAACCAACTGAACTGAAATTTGTGTTGCTAACTGGGAGACAGTTTGTGGTTTGAGTCATGCTTTGAAAACACTTCAGAAAACAAAACAAAACACTTAATTTTTTAGATTGTATCATTGCCCTTTCAGAAAATAAAAATTCAAAAATGTTATGCTGTTGCAGACTTTTTTTTGTAAGCCAGAGGGAGATTTTGCTTTCTAAGCACATGAGTTTGAAGGCAGTTAATATAAGTATCAGATATAATCAATAACAACAGACACGAATCGGACAATGTGGTTTTCACTTTTTTTTTCAAGGAGGAAAAATGACTTTGATACATACCTGAATCACTTCATAAAGGTGTACCCGAACACTCCCTAGAAAGATAGGAGCTCTGTGTATATTTTCAGACTGCATTAGTGATAAGTAAATATTATTCCGCTCATCATCTGGACGTCTAGGAACCTTAATATCAATATAGATGTGAAAAGATGCATATGAAAAGAGATTTAAATTCAGTCTGAATTTCATATGTAATTTATGAATACATCCATAAACTATATGACAAGAAGTGTATATATAATGATTATCTTTGTATGTTCTTATGTATCTTTCCAGTACACAGTAACATATACCCTAATGCTAACAAAAAGCATGGACATTACATCTAATGTCAATAACAATCTTTTAAAAAAAAAACACTTCGCCTACATTCTCTTAAGCTCTACACAAAAGTCCAGCCTCAATATTCTGCTTGTTATATTATCAATGGTAATCCAATACCCATATCAATTCCAAATATTTTAGATGATGCAAACATCCAATATCAAGACATCCAACATCATTTCCAGTCTGTATCTAAACCATTGCCTCAATTTGAAACTCTCTCCCATCCGTGAACTCTGTAACACAATGCCATTATTATGTGACCTTTAACATTCACTTTCTTGTTAATTAGAAAATAATCCCATTGCCTCCACATTTCCAACATTATAAAAGCCTTTACATTTTTTTTGAGATGTAATGGACACATCACATTGCATTGCTTTTAGGTATACAACATGATTTGATATGTCTATATTATGAAATAATGACCACAATAAGTGTAGTTAAAACCTATCATCACCCAGTCACAAATTTTATTTTCTTCTCATGAGAACTTTTAAGACCCACTCTCTTGGCAACTTCCAGTACAATACAGTATTGTTAACTATGGTCACCATAATTGTTGTATAATGAATCCACGGGACTTATTAAATAACTGGAAGGTTTTATCTTTTGACTACCCTTCACCCACTGTGTCTACTCCCCAATTCCCCCTTCTTGACCCATCAATCTGTTTTCCATATTTTTGAGTTTGGTTTTTCTTTTTAAATTCCACATATAAGTGAGATCAAAAGTATTTGTCTTCCTTTGTATTTCACTTGGCAAAATGCACCAAAGATAACCGTTCATGTTGTTCAAGTGGCAGGATTTCTCTTTTTTCATATTTCATTTTAAAATTCATTGTGACTGGGCACTTATGTTGTTTCCACATCTTGCCTAATGTAAATCATTCTTCAGAGAACATGGGAACAGATATCAAGATAGTGATTTTGCTTTCTTCAAATACCCAAAAGTGGAACAGCCGGATCATATGGTAACTCTTATTTTACTGTTTTCCATAGAGACTGCACCAATTTACATTCCCAACACTGCACAGTGTTCCTTTTTCTCCAGCTTCATCAACACTTGTTATTTCTTGTCTTTTTGATAATAGCCATTTTAATGTGTATGAGGTGATAATCACATTGAGGTTTTCATTTGCTTTACCCTGATTAGTGAGCATCTTTTTCATGTCCTATTTGCCATCTATATGTTTTCATTGGGAAAATGTCTATTCAGATCCTCTATTCATTTTTTAACTGGATTATTTGGCATTTTGCTATTGAGTTTATGCACTCTTTACCTATATCAGATTTAACCTCTCATCAGATATATGATCTGAAAGTATTTTCTCCCATTCTGTAGCTTGTGTTGTCATTTTTTTGATGGGTTCCTTTGCTGTACAGAAACTTTTCTGTTTGATGTAGTCTCACAGCTTTATTTTTATATTTGTTGACTTTGCTTTTGGTGTCAAATCCAAGCTGATATTAAGGAACTAGCCCATGCTCTCTTCTAGGATTTTATTTCAGGTCTTATATTCACATCTGTAATCCTTTTGAATTGATTTTTATGTAGGCTTTAAGACAGTGGCCCAGTTTTCCCAACACTACTGATTGAAGACATTGTCCTTTCCTCATTTACATTCTTGCCTACATTGTCTTTAGTTAGCCAACATATTTGGGTCAGCTAATATGGGTTTATTTCTGGGCTATTTTGTTCCTTTGATCAGTGGATTAATTTTTATGCCATACCATACTATTTTGAACACCATCACTCTGTAATATAGTTTGAAATCAGGAAGTACACGATACTATTGCTTTGCTTTTCTTTCTCAAGATTGTTTTGGCTCCTTGGGGTCTTTCATGCCACTCTCTGCTTGGGTTATACTTTCTTGTGCAGAATCAATGCCAGTCAGAAAGTTTGTTATAAATGTGTAGCTAGCTAATTTTCATTGTCAAATACAAGGAAATAATCCCTTCATATATTTCACTCAGTTTTATAGTTTAGAACGTAAGAGTAAATCCAATATCAGCTATTCCAGCATAGTCACAGCAGAAACCCACTGAGTTTTAACATAACTTACTTAACTTTTCAGAACAATTAAACTAACATTCCTTTTTATGTTTTGGTTTATTTGTTTTGTTTTCATTTTTAAACTGGGTCAATTTTGTAAGTTTTAGCAAAACTAAGTTCTATGGTATACAGAGTTTACATTCATTTTATCCTAGTTACATAGAACATAGTTTAAAAGTCAAAGAGTTCTAATACTGCCAAAACAATGAAAACAATGTTTCTTTTCTCCCACCTACATTATTCTTTTTTGCCCCTGTATTTTATGATGTATTGACATCTTAAAAAGCTTGCTTGCCAGAGAAACTTCCCCTTCCTGGGCTAGCGAGTTCCTAGAAGATAACTTAGGAATTGGCTGGAAGTACACATTTCATATCAAAACAACCAACCTCAAACTACAGCCCTGACCACCTTATATAACTTGTACACCAATTCAATATTTCCCCTTTCCTAAATCATCCCTGGGCCAGGTATCAGGCAACTAGAGATTACCTTTATAGCCCAAAGTCTGCTGGAAATATTCAAACTAGTTCATCCTAAATATCTGACTCTACTCTGTACTTTCTCCTCTGATACTTCCCCTGTGGCTTTGTACAGTAATGTCCCCTCTTCTCAGGAACTATGAGTAATAATTTCTTCTTTCAGTAGCAAGAAACTGTCCATGTCCTCACTCAGTTATATATCTATAAATTAAATCCTGGATATAATTTTAGAACACTACCCAACACACCCTGAAACTTCTATTTTCAGAAGCCACCTTTCAAACTTTTGAATGGATTTTTAACTTTTTAATATTTTTTGGATTTAATATTTAATTTTTAGGGCCTCCCCAGTGGTGCAGCGGTTGAGCGCTGGGTTGCGAAGCTGCCCGCAGCCTCTGCAGCGCCGGTTCTATCCACGGCTGCTCCCTGGCCACCAGAGGAGGGTCCCACATGGCGCGCAGACCTCTCCTGCCGCCCGCTGCTGCCCTCAGCAGTGTACTTCGGTCCTTCTGCCTGCTCTGCTCCCCGCTCTGGCTCTGGTGAATTCTCTCACCCTCCCGCACTTCTGACTGTACCCAGTGCTTGTATGTATAAATAAATAAATAAATAAATAAATAAATCTTTTAAAAAATTAAAAAAAAAATTTAAATGGATTTTTAACTTTTTAATATTTTTTGCCATAAAATCAAGTTTCTAAATAGCATGCTTAAATTATTATTGATTCTTTAGTTTTTGATACTATAGATTGGTTATTTTTTTTTAAAGATTTCTTCATTCATACATAAAGGAACTAGGGTACAGGCCAGAGTTTTGGGGGGTGATAGGATTCACCAGAGACAGAGTGGGGAACAGAACAGGCAGATAGACTGAAATACACTGCTGAGGGGAGCAGCAGGCAAGTCAGGAGAGGTCTGCTGCGCCATGTGGGTTGTTCCCTGGCCGGGGATCAAACTCATGCTGCAGTGGCTGCAGACAACTTCATAGGCTGCGTCTTAACCCCTTGCGCCACCAGGGAAGCCCTTGAATGGTTATTGTGGAAGAAAAAATTAGCTCTCCCTACACTCCCCCATCATGTTTCAATTCCCCTCCCCCCATTCTTCCAATATATTCTTATGCCATGCTTATTTGTTTGGCCAATACTAAATGTTTAGGTTATTATATAAACATATCAATTTTCCAGAGTTCAACAATACAGCTACAAAGTTCATATCTCCTTTCTTGTATCATTTTTTTAAATCCCTTGAGTTAACCTGTCTTGCAGTTCTTATTTCTTTGCTTGTGCAGTTTGCTATGAAATTATTACCAAGTCCTTCACTAATATTCTATTAGGGTTCCATTAAAACTCTCCTTAGTATGCTCAAATAATAGTTGCTATTAAAATAAATATAGGAAAAAGATTTTGATTATGCTGATGAATATCAGCACCTTATTATATTAAGTATTCATTTCAGGTTTTATTTACTTATTTGGGGACATATTAACTTTATTATTTAAAAATTTTTAATCAAGCATTTACTGATACTTAAAAACATATTTAGTCTCTAGTTACCTGCTACTTGGCCTGGGAAAGGGAAAATATCGGCTAGGTGTGAGCATTAGATATATGGTCAGGGCTATAGTTTGAGGTTGGTTTATAATACTAGTAAAGTTTTGGGAGTAATTTTTTTTTTAAGATTTATTTATTTATACAAGAACTGGGGTATAGGTCAGAGGCATGGGAGGATGAGCGAATTCACCAGAGACAGAGTGGGAAGCAGAACAGGCAGATGGACCAAAGACACTACTGAGGGGAGCAGTGTGGGTATCTCCCTGGCCAGCTGGGAATCGAACCCATGCTGTAGAAGCTGCAGACAGCTTCATAGCGCTGTGCTCAACCCGCTGCACCACCGGGGAGACCCTTTGGGAGTAATTCCTATCTCAATATAAGTGTATAAACCACGCCTGTACCCACCACCATAGGGCTAGTACTAGTGTCATTCATCATTATCAAAATGACAACCTTGTCCTTCAGATTTTATTTAAATGGACATATTTCCAGAACATTTTTTTAAATTAGCCATGAAGCATAAGTATTTGCAAAGTGAAAGAACTTACATCTGTGAAGTAAGAATGTAAAGTAAGGAGGATGATCATTATATATATGCTATTATTATTTCACATATATGCATGCGTGTGTGTGTGTATATATATATATGTATGTATGTATGTAGAGGGATTGTTATAAAGATTTAAAAAGTTAATCCATGCAGATAATTAGAGCTTACGTAAGAAGAGAGGAGAGGGGGAAGGGAGAAGATTCCTTCAAAATTCATATGCTGACTCCTCAATTCCCCATGGGGTGTTTAGGAGGCAATTAGGTCACGAGAGTAGAGAGCCCTCATGAATGGAGTTAGTGCCCCTATAAGAAGAGAGGCAAGAAAGAAGAGCTCATCCAGGAAGCAGGTCCTCCCCAGAGACCTGATCCTTTAGTACCTTGATTTTGAACTTTCCCATCTCCAGAAAAGTGGGAAATGAGTATCTGTTGTTTAAGCCACCCATTCTATGGTAATGTGTTATAGCAGCCCAAACTGACTATGACAGGGTGGAAAGATCAAGGTTAAGAGGGAAAGATTAAGATAGAGAAAAATAATGTGTTTGATAAACACTCAGAACTACAGATAGTAAGATCAGAGGGAAGACCACCAACATCAGGCACCTTATGATAAATGTTTCTAAAGAACACACTGATAATACCGGATGGTCTCACTCATAGCAGGAATCTGGAAAACTTAAATAAGGGACTAGGAAAATGAATAACTATAAGAAAGTGAAAATCAAAATCAACAAAAAACTATGAACCAGAGACACTCTGTGGGGGGTAGAGGGTGGGAGGGGAGGGATTGGGGTCAAAATAAGGGGGTTGCAATTGTATGGGGATTATAAAAATAAAATTTATTATTAAAAAAAAAAAAGAACACACTGATAGAGCCCATAGCTTAGGAAACAGAATACTATAAAATATCAAATATAAAGGAGCACTGCTCTTGTTTCTTTCATGTTTCCCTAAAAAATATAATTAGCATAAAGTATTTAAAACTATAAAGATACATTCTTACATCTAGAAGATAACTTTAACATTACCTGTACAGAAAAGTACTTCACTTCATTAAACTTAACTGTAAAGTTCTTTCCACTGTCTGGGATTACACGAATTTTTGTAAATTTTACAATGTTGTTTATGGAGATACGAATGAACAAATTATTGTGATATTTTAAATTAACTGCAAATAGATATTTAGGAAACAAAATTTGCTGTGATTGAACAATAACAACATAAAATTAATCCATTAAACAATTTATGTTGAAACTAACTTATAATCAAATAGATGAGGATGATTCTTCCTTAGATCCCTTCTCATATATTTTTCTCAAAGTTATATTTTATTTATTTATGCATACAAGAACTGAAGTCTAGGCCAGAGGTGCGAGGTAGGGGCTGGGTGTGTGAGTGTGTTTGAGAGAGGTTTCACCAGAGTGGGGAGCAGAACAGGCGGATCTACTGAAATACACTACTGAGGGGAGCAGGCTGGTGAGACAGGAGAGATCTGCTTCCCCATGTCAGTTAGCTTCCTGGTGGGGGATGGAATTCATGCTACAGTGGCTGGTGATAGCTTGATAGCGCTGAGACTTTAACCCCTGAGCCACCAGGGAGACCTCCACTTCTCATAATTTTATCCTCATATTCCCTCTATAATTCCTTTGCAACTTTTTCTAAATATTATTTTTAAAGTGCCTAAACTTATGCAAATATAGGTTTTTTTCCCTAAGCATAATTATGCAGAAATTTAAAAAATACATCACTGGAGAGTAATCATTTTTAAAGCAATAGAACTTAAAGTAGCATCCCACTGTAGGATTCACTCATATTATTTTGGTATGTAGCATTATCATTCATAGCTTTCCATGCATTAGAACAATTTTGTTATGATTTAACTAATTATCTTAAAAATCTCATTATACAGAATTCTCTTCAGTGATTCTTCTTATGTAAAAGAAAACCAAACCTTCATAATGAGATTGTTTTTATGCCATGATAAATCTAATAATAAGCACTCGGTTTATGTGAAATTACCAATATAAAATAAATCCTTTTAAAAAAGCTTAAGAGAAGCACACTTATTACTTAGAAATAAATTAGTAGTATTATCCAAGAAGATCCATTTTTTTTCCATTTACTTATTTGGTAATTGAGATGGGTACAGATGGTTGAAAATCTTTTCTCGCTCTCCACATCAAAAAGGGAAACTCATTTTCCTCTGCTTTTGAATCTAGCCTGGCCCTGTGATTACTTTAACATATAATGGACATGACCATGGCTGGGACTAGGAAGGGTGAGAGAAGTACTAGCCAAGGTGCAAAATTTAAGGGAACACAAACTACCTAAAAAAATCAAGATAAATAGTATTTTAAAGTCATATTTTTTTAAAATCAAAATTAATCCTGGGGGAAAAAAACGATGACGACAGATCCTGAGACTACATGGGCAAAGAGCAATGTTCAATCACTTCAGTATCCCAGCTAGGTCCAGCCTTCCAGCCATTCTCACTAAAGTGTCAGGCATGTGTCCCAACCTTTTTAACTGCCAGAGGACTACAGCAGCAGCTGTAATAACTTGAAGCAGAAGTGTCCCCTAATGTCTGCAGATAGTGACTGAACACAAAATGGTTAATGTTTTAAGCTACTAGTGCAGCAACACATAAACAATGAAATAAAATCATACTGTGGCTCTTAAATCAAAAGAAAGGATACTTGTAGCTGCAAAATGTTTGCAGTTCTTTATATGAACAGCCAGGCAGCCAACCTATAACAATAACAATAAAAACACAGCAAATGAATTTTTGAAAGTTAACTTTTCTTCCATTTTTCTCTACACCAAACTTTATTTAAAAAGAAAAAAATCCTCCAGTTAGTTTTTGTCATTAGAAATTATGTTTCTGATTAGAAATACCTAGTTAGTGGTAAATATCAGAAAGCATAAATACATAGAATTTGTTCAAAGGAAACCTACAATGAAGAATATAAAACAAGAATGTCTCATACTATCATCACTGAATCATTTTAACATTAGGTGAGAACGGATAAAATATAGTACCTTGCATATGAGATAAATTTTTATGCCTTGCTTCAGATAAATTTGTAAGAAACTATCTAATTTTTTATTGAGGTAATGCTGACTGACAATATTGAACATGATTTAGGGGCACAGGTTTGCATCCTTTCAGACGTATGCTACCACGGCACACCCACCATCAAAGCACCAAAAATGTTCCACCATACTCTGCAGATAAGCTTTCTTAGCCAGAACCATAAAACCACTTTATTCATTCAACAACTGTAAGATGCTGAGGGTTGTGAAATATTCATTCTCTCTTATATAATGTGTTCCTAAGTGTTAAAGAAAACTGTACTTTATGTTTAACCATAAAATCAAATACAAAATGAATACAGGAACACTTGAATACTAATATGCAATGTTAGTCAAATATAGTTACTATATTTGAGCCTAAAACCAAGTAAAATCAACATCAATATTATATTAAAAAACATTAAACAAAATACATGGCACAAATAATATTTTTAAATGTACTAATTTTAAAGATATGACTTTCAAACAATACAGAAAAAGAGGTTAGCATTCAATAATCACTTAAAAGACTACTGTATCTAGGGCCTCCCCAGTGGTGCAGCGGTTGAGCGCCGGGTTGCAAAGCTGCCTGAAGCCTCTGCAGCGCTGGTTCGATCCCCGGCTGCTCCCTGGCCCATATGGCGCTCAGACCGCTCCTGCCACCCGCTGCTCCCCTCAGCAGTGTAATTTGGTCCTTCTGCTTGCTCTGCTCCCCACTCTGGCTCTGGAGAATTCTTTCACCCTCCCGTGCTTCTGACTATACCCAGTGCATGTATAAATAAATTAATTAATTTAAAAAAAAGACTACTGTATCTAAATGATGAAATCTGAAAGAAGAAAATATTTTAGTCTATTTCAGACCTACTTCATAGATATGAAATGCTAGGTTAAAGGGAATGTTCTAAGATTTCAAATTCAAAGGTAGGGAGGTATGCATACTATATAATCAAAGTGGAATTTAAAATTCAAAGGAGGATAAAGCAGAGAAGCATAGTTATAATTCTGGATTGCACAATTCTATACATCTGTCACAAATCACTGCCAAGTATCTCAACATGACGCCATGAGCAACTATCCTGACTTTATATTTCAATAGATATTTATACCTTTACATACTATACCTATCCGATAAAAAAGAGAATACATTTCTATTCAAATATACAGAAAGATTTAACACTCAAAAGTAAAATGATCAGCACAGGTTGCAGGTACCAAATACTGCCACAGATTTCTGGGATCCAGTCATGACCCAAAGCAGTAACCACGTCAATACCTTCACCTCCCAAATACTCTCAAATAGCAATTTAAAGTAGGAAAGCAACCAGAAAGCTGTTCACCAAAGCATGTTATGTGTCAAATTTTAAGACATATAGCTTTTTCACATTTTTTTGTGAGAATGGAATGTGACTATTAGAAATTGGAATAGTGGGTTGTGACACAGTTATCATCGAAAACACATGTACAAATCTTGCCAAACATCTCAGAATCACAGTTTTCAAAGAGATGATGATGTGACTGAATTATGCCTTAGGAGGAGCTATCAATCACATGCCAGATATCTCTATGTTGAAAACTTTCAGCCAGCTTTTGAAAGAAGCTCTTTAATGCTTTCCAATATGTAATTCAAATAAGGGAATACAAATATGAAGCTAGGAAGTATAGGTGAAATAAAATATTTTTCAAAATGTCAATTCTGAAGAGATGAAGTCATATTCAAGAGTATGGATCACAGAAATTAATGTTAATATAATGACATGCATAACCACTTACAGCCAAAAGTGATTTCAAAGAATATTTTCTAAGTTTGGATTCAGATGTTGAAGGCTTTTCATTGTGATACTCCAACTTTTCATTATGACATGGGAAAGAAAGTCTTACATATTTATATGGATAAATGCATACTGTGACTATTTTATAAAAACAAAAATATACATGTGAATATAGTATTATCCATTACTGGAAAAAAAAGTGGTGTCAAATTTGTTATTTATTTTTTAATAAAGAAAACAGTATACAACAGGAATTAGAGAAGAGGGGTTAAGAGAAGAGAAACTCTCATTTCATACCAATGAAATATTACAACAGTATTCAGAAAATAAAGATAGCTGTAAAATATCATATTTGACAGCTCTCAATGTTCATAGATCCTAATGCCCTGTACTCAACAGCACCCAAAAGAGAACAGTTTTTTCCGGGTTCTTTGCCTAGGTATTAATTAGGTCCTACCTGTGGGTTTGTGCGTGAGTGGTGGGTGTATTTGCTTTGCTTCTGGGGGCCTGCGCTTCTTGGATGAGGGAAAGATATGGGGTGAATTTTCAAACTGTAGCTCAAAGGTTCCTAAATCTCACAATAAATACAATCACCTGAGGAGCTCAATAAAAGCACTGGTTCTGAGGCCCTAGTCTATTATCCTAAATTATCAGATCTTAGGTCAGTCCCAAAAATAAAGGTCTTAAAAAGTATTCCGGGTGATTCTGATATAACTAGAGTTTGCCAGTCTCCAACATAGAAAACATTTTTTTTTTCTGTCAATCAGATGTTTTTCATAATTTCAGTGATTATTAGAATGCTTTCCTGACTCCCCCAAAATGAAAAATTCAAGAATGCTATCAAAGAGGACAGTTTTCTACACATTTTTTAACCAGATAGTAAATATTAACTAGTTTTCATTCAAGTTTTTTGAAGATTAGTCATACATACCACATCTCCAAATGGCACCAAAGATGGCACCTCAGGTGTTACTTCGACCCCTATTTTAGATTCAGACTCTTTAAAAGTTTTTCTCAGCATCTACAATATAAATAAATAAAGACTTTAGATGGCAAAGACCCTAACTAGATAAAAACATTCCTTTAATTCATCAAATGTTTTATGAATATCTAGTATCAGATCTTATTCTTGACAGTGAGATGTTAATATGACTAGAAAACTCATCCTGTCCTTGATTAAGTTCATCTATATGGTAGCAGAAGACCAAAATGTACTCAACTAAATCTAAAATAATTAAGGGGATCATTTGAGAAAAGTGGTAGCATGAACAATGAGTTCTCCTTGCTAACTAAAAATGAGCAGCATCATCATCACATTCTTGTCTTAATCTGATGTGGACTCCACAAAAGGCAATGGTACTGCTTGTAAGTCATCCCAATTGTAAAGGTCAGGAAGACCAAAGTGCAGGTTTTCTGATCCCATGCATACCGGGTGAAGGAGGAGTCAGAGTCCTCAGCGGTTTTTTGCAGGTCTTTTATTGGGGTTTACCAGACATGGCAGGCAGGGGTGCTGGGGGGCCAGGAGGCTGGCAGGCCTCCCAGCCCCCAGAAGTCTTCACTCTATCTGGGCTCTCTGGTGTTCTCTACTTCTGCTTCTGCTGGCGTCCCCGTGACACTGCCCTTAAAAAGCACAGTCTTAGCCCAGGTGAATCCCATCTACCTAGGCCCACACCCTATTCCAGGTGCCCGCCATCAGGTATGCATTCAGGACCGCAAGGATCCATCATCTATTCTGATGGCGGGAGGGCAGAAAAGCCTGACATTTTTCCTTACCCTACACAATACACCATCTGTTATCAGTCAAGGAAGGAAATGGATGTTTTATTCCTTTGAAATAATAGGTACATTGGAACAATGCACAAATAGCTTTAGGTTTTTAATTGTGTGATCTTTCTCCTGAGAAACTTCACAAACTGACATTTGCAATTTTCTATTTAACTTTGCTTTTAAAGGCTCTGGTCATGATGCATGATGGTTAGCCTTTTAAAATTACAAGACATTTTAACATTGATTTTTTAAGTAGATTAAAAGGGAGAGGAATATTTGGGAAGGGATTAGAGGAGTATGAAAATTGCCTATTAAAAATATAACCTGAAAGGAGAATCATAGCTTTGGTGAACTTGAATCAACTTGTTTTTATTTATCAGCATTAGCTTCCCCCAAATCTTTCCACTGTGTACCTTTTAAAAATCACTTGTTCAATTTTTCAAATATATAATAAATCCTTAGTTATGTTGAAAATTTTCTTTTAAAGTATATAATGAATACTTCAGTTATATTTAAAAAAGTGTTCTTTGTAGGATCATTTTGTTATTGTTGCATCTGATGGGTTTAAGTGTATTAAAGATTTAATTTGTAGTTTAAGATTAATAAATGACAGTTACTGTACTATCAAAAAACCACCAAACTGTGGCAATTATATCTATACAGATCTTCCTCAATTTATGAAGTTACATCCCAATAAATCAATTGTAACTCAAAAATCTCATGTTGAAAATGTATTTAATACACAGAATTTACCAAACATCATAGCTTAGCCTAGTCTACCTCAAACATGCTCAGATCACTAACGTTAGCTTATAGTTGGGCAAAATCATTTAACATAAAGCCTACTTTATAGTAAAGTGTTGAATATCTCATGTAATTCATGGGATTATGTGGCATGCTGACTAGCAGCTGCAGCTGGTGGCTGCTGCCCAGCATCAGGGGAGTCCCATGTAACAAATCACTAGTCTTGGCAAAGACCAAAATTCAAAGTTCAGTTTCTACTGAATACAGAGCATTTTTCTGCACTACCATATAGGGAGCCATCTGTATTTAATGTGGACCATTTCATGCTTTCTAATATCTTGGTAACTTTTTTCACGGAAACCAAATATATTGAATGGGCATTTCAGCAAAGACAAGATAACTAGGTGGGGGCGGGGGAACACTTTTAGATTACTTATACTCAATTCATCCTTAACAACCTGGCAAATCTGCCTCCCTCTCTATTTTACTCCCTCTTTACTTTTCCTACCTCACCTTAGCAAAGTTCTCTTCAAGGAAAGCAACATTAACTAAAACAATTCTTTGCCAAAACTCTTTTAGAATCTTGAATGGGCATTCTAAATACCAGTCTCATAAAGCCTCCAACACCATCTAGAATTTCTTCTGAACCTACAGATAATTTTGATTTCAGTTCCACTACGCCTTTCTCCTCTGTCTCCACTGGCCTCCACCTTGAGTAGAAGTCCTCGTGGCATTTCTATTAAAAGATCTGTACATTATCCCATTTGGCTCTGCACGTCTTCCCAGCAACCTTTTGGTCCTCTATAGGGTAAATGAAAGTGATCAGGTTTTTTCCACCCTCCCCCCATCAGCATCAATGATGGACACATGTGGTCTTGAACCTATGCCTGATGGTGGCACCTGAGTAGGGTGTGGGCATGCATGAATGGGCAGAGCTGAGTAAAGAGATGGAACATATAAGGGCGGCAGCAGAGGATAGTGAGGCAGAGTGCAGGAGAGACCATGAGAGAATGCCAGAGTCCAGAGAGAGTGAAGACCGGCTGGGGGCAGGAGGCCTGCAAGCCTCTTGGCCCCCCGGGCCTCCTGACTGCCCTGTAGCTGGTTATCTCACCACAAATGGTACAGAAAGATCATAAAAAACCTGAAAAGGCCACCGAGGGCTACAAGACTCTCCTTTACCCATCTGCCCGGGTCCATAGAGAGCCTGCCCTGTGCCTTGCTACATCCTCTATTCCACATTTTCCTTGAAAATCCATTATCCTTTTCCTAGGATAGTCCTACCTCCTAGCCCTAAAGAAAAACCTGCTCTCCTTATATTAATTGGCACTTACTAATGTGATGGCACACAGAGAGATACATTTGCTTCCAAGTATTAAAAAAATTACATATTGTGTACAGAAAATGCTAAACATTTACATAATTGTTCTTACTATCCTGTGATAATCTACTTTTCAGAAAGTGTCATATACCGAAAAAAATGCAAAGAAGTTATAGAAAAGTCTACCTGTTGCCCAAATGTATAATTTTAACCTGTGTACTGATACAGAGGCAGCAATTACTAAATTGAAACACATCCATTCCATGACTAATGGTCTATATCATGTATTTTATAGTAGCTGTTGCATAATTTTAATAACAGAGTTGTATTACTCTAATTTTATTGTATAGAAAACATCTGTATTGCATAAACTCATTGATGAAATCATTATAACTAAATCCAAGCATATATTTAATTTCTTAAGCTCTTTCTGGTCTGTCAAACATTGAAACAATCCACAGTAAAGTAATTTGGGAAACCAAACTTGAGTAAGCAATGTACCCTGCATATAGATACCCTGCTCTTTTTTGCATATATGTAGGTGCTATTGTATCTATAAGCAAATTCTAAACACTGCCTACATGGTAACTTTCTGTCATTGTAGATTTTTCATCAGTGTATAATAAAAAGCCAACTATTCTTATGTGTGGTATTTTTCTCTTTCTCTTTACAATCAAATGGATCTCATACTCTTAAAACATATTCACACATGAAAAAACTCATACTCAAAAAAATATTGGAAATCACCATTTTACAGAATAAAGTCCAAATTCCTTAGGACACATAACAAGAAGAGGTGTAAGCACATCTCCCTTATACAACTTCTTCCAAGTTTTACTCCATAACTTAATCTAATGTACTCTCAATTTATCAGAGCAATGTCAAGAGTATCCTAAGTTTTCGAATTAGGAGCGTACCTCAGAAATCAAGTCATTCAACTCCTTCATTTTACAGAGAGGAACATCATGTTCTTGTGTACCATTTGTTTTCTGATACTTCTATTTGAACTATTTTTAATAACAGTAAGTTATTAACAGAAGATCAAAAGAAAATGTAATATTTTCTAATAATCCTCTAGTAAACTTTGAAAAAAATGTTTCAATTTGATTCTCCTTTTCCTAAAGAGAGAAGGTCTCCATCCTCACTACATGGTAAACTCAGTAGTTTTGCACATTTCAAGTATAAATTTACCTTTGTAATTAACAGGAGGCCTATGATTCATTTTGCAGACATGATGCAGATTTGCTCCTACAGGTTCAATTGTAAGAACCTCAGGAATTGAAAATAAATGTAAATAAGTTTCCAGAGCTTTAATCACAAGATTTCAAGAAATGAAATCCTCAGGATGAGAGTAGCCAACATTTGTTGGTTTTTTTCTGTTTTGCACTGTTAAGAAGCACTTTACATTACTCTCTCATTTAGTTCTCCAGACAACCACATAAAGTAGGTAAGTAGTGATTACGGTTTTCACCCAACCGTTAATAAAATGAGGTTCTGGCAAGCTAAGTAAATGCCAAGGGGCCACAAGTTACACCTTTCTCACGCATCACCACTTTCAACCAAGGGCAGGTCTCCTCCTGCCCTGCAACCCTCCGCGTGCCTGGACCCCCTCGTCCTTCCTTGGCCCTCTAGGTGTCTGAGGAGGGGGCGAACTCCGCCTGTGAGTCCCCACTTACGTTCAGCAGCCGCTGCGCAGGGCCCTCCTTGGTCTTGTCCTTCTGGGCACTACTATAGACTAATAACAACTCTCTGTCAGGGATGGCTTCCAAGTTGGAATGCAGAGTATTCTGAAGCGCAGGGGATACGTACAGAGCACGGACCCGCCCATTTCTGTTAACAGCTGTGTTGGAAAGATTAGGCGGCTTCAGGGGCGGATCCATACCTCCAACCTCTGCCGGGGCCTGTCTGAGCCTAACTGACGGTCTGCTACACGGCGCAGGCGCAAACTCCTCACGCCCCCGGCCCCTCGCGGGCGCTTTTTCCGCGCAAAACCACAGCTCTGGGGACCCGGGCCTTCAGGGCCGGCCCCTGCTTGGTACTGGATTTGGAGGAGTGTCAGCTTAGCAAACATGGAGGTCTGCTGCAAGCACTGGCCCAAGCCGTTTCAGTCTCCTCTAGAAATAAGTTAGAGTACGGTGGTGGGCAGCAAGGCTTGTCAGCGCCTCAAAGGACCCCTTCAGGGCCATCCCAAGCCCTCGTCTCCCCGCACCAATTCTTAGACTATTAACAATAGCAGTCACTAATTCCTTATACTATCCCCTGTGCTCTAGATGTTGTATTTCCAGTCCACTTAGATATCCTTACTCATAACACATTCAAATTCATCTTCCCTCCCAAACCTCTAGTATGTTCCAATCGCATTTAATGTAGCAATGTCATATCTACAAAAGCTGCTTGAATTCTAACCCTAAATGTCTGAATCCAATGCTTCCTCTTTTTGGCATCTAGTCTAAGACAACTCCCACACACTTGACTGCCATACTTTAAGTAAGGGTCTTCTGGCCTACTAGCAGGTACTCTTTCCGCTGTCCAGTATTAAAGTTTACCTTTAAAAAAAAACAACAACAAAATTTCAGACTGTTTCATTGCCAAAACATTTAAATTCCTTAATATGGAAAGGCCTCCAAATGCATACTGCTACCTTAGATCATTATTTATTGCTATTCTATTTGGAATCTATAATTTTTTTAATTAAATGGCCAGTTCAAAGTTCAGCTTTCAGTTGTCTTTTGCCCCCCAAACAGAGTTAATTGCAGTCTCCAAGCTACACTCCCGACTACCTCACACTAGTGGCACTATTTGATTTCAAAAGATAGAGAGTTCTTTGGGTGCAGTATTTGATGTTCACCTTCTACTTTTCAGGGGATAGAGAACAATAATCTGAGGTCCTTGATACAGGTTTGTTACCTTTTTGCTTGTGCTGTATGGTATTCAATCACTATCCCAGTGAGACTTGTCCTTCATCACACTCTGATTTCATTGGGATTCATGTGAAACAATATAAAAAATAATCAAACCTCCGGCATAACTTCCAGACTACAGGAAATGCTATTGGGGGATGGGGTCAAATACAAATTGTAGGTGGGACATTCAAAGACAAAATAATTTGGGTTTATCAGAAAAAATGTCATCAGGGAAGGTAGAATGGTAAATAGTTGCTTGTAAAAAGTTTTGCAGTTTTTTTAAAATCTAAGCATGTAACTACCATACAACCCAGCATGGCCTCCTGATTTATCCCAGAGAAATAAGAACAGCCTACACACACACACACACAAACTGTACAGAAATATTCAGACACATTTGCAAAATCCCTTCTGCCACATAAGTTTCCAGGGATTGTGACATGGTAATCTTTGGGAGGCATCATTCAGCCTACCACAATCCCCCCACACTGGTTTTCTCCTATTTCTCATTGTTCAGGTGTGGAAAGCCTCAGCTCTAATGAGCACCATTTCCCCGAAGTTTCCTAGCAAGGAGAATTGGGAACTCCTGTACTTTAACCTGAAAACCATCACTCATCACAGTGAAAGCTGAAACGAGCAGTATCACTGCAGAACTGCCTGTAGATTCACAATTTTGTAACTCCTGGGTGGATTCCCTTTTCAGCAGCTCCAGCCTTATAAGCAGCAAGATAGTCCTTATTTGGCATTCACAGTAAATTTAGACCTATGCTTAGAGCCATGGACTCTAGCATCAATTTGTCAATCCTTTTGTTCCACAACATTCAGTCACTCGCTAATCAGGGAAAGAGACTTTGATACACTTTTCACCATAGTTTTATCATTGTCTTGAGTTCTAGGATTCATACCAGTTCTAGGATTCATACCACCACTGGATACAGTTCTGAAGAGACCTTTTGCAAGTACAGGGCCAATCCTCAAGAGCGGGATTTCCTTGACAATCAAAGATCATGACAAAAAATAATGTGAGCATAGGAATGGTAAACTTCTACTCATTTCTTGTCATGCAAAGGAAAAAAAGGCAGAGGAAAGGGTTCTGTGGAGTTTTAGCTCTCCACTTTATTCCCCTGAGCTCTGAGCTTGCTCAGCTTCTCTGCTGCTATGTATATTTTTTAAAGCTCCCTAAATGATCCTGATGGACAACCAGATATTGGAACCATAGGTACAGGTTTTAAGGGGAAATAAACATTTCAAACAACAAAAAAAGTACATTTTTTTATTAAACATAAAATAAGCATCTTTCAATCTAAATTACATATTATACTTATTACCTGATATACAACCACTAAGTCTGTTTTAAAAAAAAGACAAATTGCATATTTTAATTTATTCAGTAAGGAGGTATCAAAAAATAATGGCTTTATCTCTCCTTCCCTATTATCTTAATTTATGTTAAAACTTGATATGTATTTTATAACACTAAAGTAATGGCTATTTCAATATTAGTGTTTTTAAGGTAGTGATTATAAATTCAACTAATTTGAGAGAACAGGAAATAAACACTTTCACCTGCCGGTTTCTAGCTCTTTATCTCCTTTGTCATTAAGATGATAATGCTATATAGAGATTAAAGTTTGGTTTTAAATTGCAGATACAGATTCCCCATTTTCCATAATCTTCAGAAAATTTTCAGTATTGTATGATAAAAAAAATCAATTCCAAACACACCTGTACATACCTTATAAAAATACATTTAAAAACAATAATGGGAAAAGTTCTAACTACTGACTGGGTCATCATTACTCTGAAGGTGAGTAGTATTATGAAGAGACTTTGATTCCTTTATCTTTTTCAGGATATTCTTCCACATCAGATGAGAACATTAACTCTAGGAAAGAAAATGAACAGATCATATGCAAAATATTTGCTAGTACCTCAAAGAGTTTTAGATATAAAGAGTCTCTAAAATATTGACAAAATTTACAATACGAGAGGCTCAAGTGAAAATTCCTAATAGTAAAATCTAATTGTAAAAGGGAGCTAGTGACAAATGTACAAGCTTTATATTTTAATGTGTTCGAGTTTTAAATGTATTACAAATCCCTGAATAATAAAACATATAATTTTAATATAATTCTTACTGAAAAGATAATTTTATTTATTCTTATTAGAGAATCCAGAATTATTCAACAGACAAAAGGGTCTAATTCTATAGCGTTCAGGACGATCTAAAGTACAGGAGACAGATATGGAGGAAGGACATGGAGCTAACATGTGGTGTGTGCCGGGGTATTGTAAATATATGATCTTATGGAATCATGCTAACAACCCAACATGCAAGGTCTTCTCACCCTCATTTTATATTTTCTTTTTTTAATCCACATGGAAGTAAAATGCTATGTGACTTATACTGCCCTGAAGGAGAATAGGATTCTGAAAATATTTAGTAAGTAACACACACTTTGTGATTTATACTGAACACTGCACATGTCAGCTGCTGCAGCTTCAATCCCAACTACACTGGGACATGTTATTTGTTGATATTTTCACATTTAAACTATTACATAGTATAGATACATAGTTTATTAAAATACCAAGATTTCCAGGGGGAAAAAACCTAGGAATCTAATAAAATAAAGTCCTCTGATATAAGTATTAGATGAAAAAGTCTTTGAATGGCTAAAAACTATACTGGGTAAAAGAAAAACTACAAAATACATAAAGCCTAAGGAGATTTCTAAAAATACCTAAAATAGATCAAAAGGAATAAAGCAACATGATATTCGGTGAAGCAACATGAGAATTACAATGCAGTAAAGTATGCTACTGAATGAAAAGACATAAGATTACATTTTTTTTTCTTGGTTTTTACAAATGGAAATGTTGGTGAGATTTTCAATTCTAAGACTTCTGAAACAGATAGGTTGTAATTAGATGATCAAGTTGTAGTTAAATGCTCAGAAGTTTAACAAATCAAGAATAAAACTGATAATCACAGTCCAGAATATATCAGAGATTCAAATATGAAACTGTGGAACATCTGCCAAGGAAATACACCTAGGTCAGGACTGAGCAGTTCCTGAAGCAGTGCAAGAAAACCAGCAGTTTCCTAATATGATCTCTCGTCTTCAAGTTTTCCAAAAGGAGTCTGGAGACTAGAGATTCGTAAATCTCACTTCACATTCATTAGACAAAGAATGAAGGATTAACAGTATGTGCCAGATAGAAGAAGTAAGAATAATTCACTTGATTTATGTGTCTGACAGAGGCTACATAAATGAATGATTTATTGCAAATTAAGGGATTTGTTGATCAGGAGACTAAGAAGTAAAGAGTTAAGACTTTCTATGAAATATGTGAAAGGTTCAAAGAGAAGACATACCTCCTAAATATATACAAGAGCTATAGAAGTCCCAAAGCACATTAAGAACCCAGCTCGTCTACTAGATACTCACTCCTTCCTATTTCTCTTGGCATTCTGTTACATCACTTTATTTTTATTCTTGTGTTATTTTAATATGCCTTTGCTTTGGAATATTCCAAGCAATAGCCAATAAAAGATTTATAAAATTATTAGAGAAGATTTCTTTAATACCTTCACTAAGATCCATGCTTGGCCTATAAGATAAAAAAAGCCAAGACAATCCAACCAGAAGGGTCACCACCAGATTCACCACAATCCATGGCTGGAGAATCTGTTCCTCAATTCCTGCTGCCCTAAAGGTATAGAAATATTGATTAGAAATGTCTTCACTTTGGCTCATATATCCAAATATATACATTTTATAAATTTAAAAAATAAAAAAGCAATCCTCATCTAGAGTAAAACATAAAAATATACCACATTTAGGGTCTCCCTGGTGGCGCAAGGGTTAAGATGCAACCTATGAAGCTATCCGCAGCCACTGCAGCATGAGTTCGATTCCCAGCCAGCCAGGGAGCAACCCACATGGTGCAGCACACCTCTCCTGCCTCACCCGCTGCCCCCGTCAGCAGTGTACTTCGGTCAATCTGCCTGTTCTGTTCCCCACTCTGTCTCTGGTGAATCCTCTTACCCTTCCCTGCCCCATGCCTCTGGCCTGTTCCCCAGTTCTTGTATGCATAAATAAATAAATCATTAAAATATATATATATATACCACATATATAAGAGCAAAGCTTCAGCTTAAGGAACTGTAAACAAATCTACTTTGCACACTGATGTAAATTTAGTTGCCAATTTTTTTTCTAAGTTTCCCTTTTCTTACAACTACTATGGATACAATGTATGGATACAGAAAAGCATCTTTTCTTTTTCTCTGTACCACATGCCTCCAGCCACTCTGAAAAATGACTGTCCCTCTGAGTTTAGGGAACTGAAATCTCAGCCATGTGATTTTGAATCTGTCACCTTCACATCTGGCCACTGACCTGCAGAGATTGGCTCTCTGGAATCTGCTCTTTCTGGCATTGCTTGGTTTTTGGACTCTGTCCCCCAGCTACCCACTCTTATCACTATTCTGGGGTATTAAGCTTCCTGACTAGGAGTGAAGGTGAAGCACTCCTCCAGTTCACCAAGTAATGACTAAGTTTAAAACCATTACTTAGAGATTTAAATCAGATTTATAAAAAGAAGACATTTAATTAAAAATGCATACATATATGTATGTACATTTTAAATGCAGCTATATAGAACAATAGTTATCTATTAACCAACAGAATAGGTATTTGCTTGCCATAATTTAAACAAAAACAAGCTCCTCGTTATTTATAAATGAAAACACATAAGAGTGGAAGAGTAGGAATACTACCATGTCGCTGTTAATACCATCAACAATTCCTAATGCTATGGTGAATTCTTACCAGAGGCTGCCATTAACAGAAGAAGGTGTGTAAAGGTGAATCCTGTCACTTGTCATTTGCTGACTCAGGGATAGCGTAAGAGCAGCAAAGTACACTGAGTAAAAGACAAATGAAATTACTGATTAGGCATTTTAAACAACCCATTTTATTCTGAATTTATAAATCCCTTTAAGGTCAAAAAAAAAATCTACACTTTGGGGAACAGTGACATGAAAAGAAACTTATTTGATCAATTTTAATAGACTAGAGAGCCTTATATTATTTTTCAAGATTACAGGTGCAGAAAAGCCTTTTGAAATACTTACTATATCGTCATCACAATTGACAAGGACCAAGAAACTGTTTTAAGAAAGTAAACAATTTATTCAAGGTCCTAAAACTAAATTTATTAATATTTTCACAAGTTAGAATAAAATATATTGTAAATTATCAAAATATAAAATAGTATTTGCTACTGAAATGTTTTACCACCGAAATCTGTTTAATGCAAAGTAGAAAATGCAAAAGCTAAAAATTCAGCAATACCAAGTTAAGCTTTTAAGTTACTTAGATCAACCTCTATTGAAAAATAATTGTATCAATATTATGCCCACCATGTTTTTTTAATTATAAATTCCACTAAGTATAACAATGTTTATATGGTACGATCATACAAAAATAAAATTGTATTTTTCCTGGTTCAAAATTACAGTATAACTCAAATATCTTAGAGTTATCAAATTAAACTCTACTCACAGAAAGATGCTAAAGCTGTGGGATCCAGAGCAAGAAAATTTCTGATTGCCACTGATGTTTTAGCAAAGTCAATCCTAGAAAAGAGAAAAGCTTCTTGTCACAGTGCATTTGTAAACTTACAAAACTGGAGTCTCTCACCCATAGTTTTTTCCTTCTCTATTCTAATACTATCACATATATTGGCTATTACTAAGCTTTAAATAGTTTATACTTAACACATATGAAAGTACATCATATTTATGAAAGGTCAGCTATAACTAGAAGACTATTTTAGTCACAATTCTTTGGAGTTAACACATTCCGAAGAAATAAATTTCATCTATAAAATTTCATTAGATTCTACCTTTGTATTACTCGTTTCATTAGGTTAAAAGTTGTTTTTTTGGGCCTCCCAGGTGGTGCAAGGGGTTAAGCACCGCATTATGAAGCAACCCGCAGCCACTGCAGCATGAGTTTGATCCCCGGCCAGCTAGGGAGAAACCCACATGGTGCAGCAGACCTCTCCTGTCTCACCCACTGCTTCCCTCAGCAGTGTATTTTGGTCAGTGTGCCTGTTCTGTTCCCCACTCTGTCTCTGGTGAATACTCTCACCACCCCCTCATCTCTGGCCTGTACCCCAGCTCTTATATGCATAAATAAATAAATCTTAAAAAAAAAAAATAGTTGTTTTTCTTAGTGGGTTGAACTATGTTCCTAAAAAAAATATGTTGCATTTGGAACACCTGTGAACATCACCTTATTTGGAAATAGGGTCTTTACAGAAACAAATAAGTTAAGATGAGGCCATAGAATGAGTCTCAATTCAACATGACACATATTTTAAAGAGGAGACATAGACAAGAGACACATAAACGCAGATAACAGAAACAGAGATGGGAGTGATGCATCTATATGCCAGAAACTACTGGAAGTTAGGGGAGAGGCATGGAATAGACTCTCCTTCAAAGCCTCAAAATTGAACCAACCTAGTCAACACTTTAATTTCAGATTTCCAACTTTCAGAACTGAGAGAGAATAAACTTCTGTAGTTTATCTCTAATTTGTAGTACTTTGTACTGGGAGCCATGGGAAACTAATATAATACCCAGACTCTCATCTATACCTAACTTAGAATATTTGGAAGATGATATTTAGGACTTTTTGTATTGATTATATTTGGATTTTTTTTAAGATTTATTTATTTATATATACAAGAACTGGGGTACAGGCCAGAGGTGTTGGGGTGGGGAGGTGAGAGGATTAACCAGAGACAGAGGGGGGAACATGATAGACAGACTGACTGAAGTTCACTGCTGAGGGGAGCAGCAGGCAAGACAGGAGAGGTCTGCTGCGCCATGTGGGTCTCCTCCCTGGCCAGGGATCGAACTCGTGCTGCAGTGGCTGCGGATAGCTTCACAGGTTGTGTCTTAAGCCCTTGTGCCACCAGGGAGGCCCCTTGGATTAAATTTTGAACTTAGACTTCATGCTGAAATGGTTAAGATTTTGGGGAAGGTTCTTATTCACAATAGTCCCGTCCCTCCAAAAAATGGCTTTGCTTAAAAAAAGTGTAAAATAAAGTAATAATAGAGTAGTCCCCCCTTATTCATGGTTTTACTCTTTGAAGTTTCAGTCAACTGTGGTCTAGAGATATTATACAATATTGATTTCTGGCTTCAACTGGTTGGGGCTTATGTTGACCAACCACAGTCAGCAGTGCAGGAATGGTGCTGCTCTTAACAGACACTTGTTGTGAGAGGCCTATATTATACAATAAGATATTCTGAAAGAGAACATTCATATAACTTTTATTGCAGTATATTGTTATAATTGTTTGATTTTATTATTAGGTATTGGTGTTTATCTCTAATAAGAGATTAACTTATGTTATTAATAAATATTAACTTATTAACTGCCTAATTTATAAATTAAACTTTTTCATTGGTCTGTATGTATAATAAGAAACAAAGTATATATAGAGAGAGTTTGGTGCTATTTGTGATTTCAGGCATCTACTGGGGGTCTTAAAACTTACCCTCTTGTAGAAGAAAGACTACTGTAGTATCCTGTAATTCAATCTCCAAATCTGTGTTAGGTAGTCAGTGATAGATTTTGCTCAATATTTCCTCCTAAAGAAAATTTAGAAGGATCTGCAGTCACTAACAGTCTTACCTGTCAAAAGCTGAAACTGTACTTAGAGCCAAAAGCAAGTAGAGAAGACTCTGGAATGGATACGCTAAGGTCTTGTATTGTTGCAGAAGGTTGGAGAGGTTAGAAAGCTGATCTCCTGCTAGAACATATATCACAACAATATTCCACACAGCACAGCCAGCCAAGAAGCCATGAGAAAAGAGACCAACCATCCTGAATGGAAAAGGCTCTAATTATTATACAAGAATTACTAAAGTAAAAAGCTAAATTATTTTTTGAAATTTCCTCACATACAAGAATAAAACTCAACATTTCATGAAAAGTAAAAACAAGGTTTTTCTTTCTACTCCACTAATAGGCAGGTCATTTAACTCTAACTAAACGTTTAAAAAATATTCCTACCCACCATTTCAAGTTGTCAGTTTTTTTCCACAGTGCTAAACAATCAACACTTTAAAATTTTTAATTATGGAACATTTGTTTCAAGAAACACCCAACAGAAGTAGCCACCTGAAAGCTCTGTGCACTGAAAGTGCAACATCTCGGGTTGTCCAAGAAGCTTTCATGTCCATTGACACATCTGTATTTTCTGTGGTCTTTATCAACTCTGAACGGTCAGCAGCCTGGAATCGCCCTGAGGACATATAACACAATTATGAGTAACTAGCAAGAGAGATTCTGACAATCCTTTTTATTATTCCACCCTTTAAAGACCTCAGACTAAAATTGAAATTTTGTTGTTTTTCTATCTAAAAATTTTCCCTGATTCAGTCCCTGTTTCAGAAGGTTTTGTTTTGTTGCTTAAAAATATTAGTTTCTATCCTTAAGAAAAGCAAATAATGTTCATGCACTTTCTTCTCAACCAAAAATAAATGTTAAAGTAGCAGTTTCAGAAATCAATTATATTTAACGAAATATAATGAACTCCCAAATCAGAACAAAATCTAGAAACCTTTAACATGACATTACCAAAAAAAAATCTAATTTAGAGATTTAGAAGTATTAAAGTGTCAATGCCAACACTTTAAATATAAGTCACTATTAAAAACAGTTTAAATTTCTTAGGAAAAAGATACCAGTGTATATACCATGACTCTCTGTGATGACAGAAAAAAATGGGTTGTTCCATACACTTCTTTTAAAAAAAATCCATGTGAAAAGTTTCAGTTCAAGTGTCAGTACTACAACACTTTGTAAACAGACTTTTATCCTTTTACTGTTAATGAAGAGGCACTTGCTTATATATCTTCTAATCCACAAATGGACTCAGGAAGTTGGAGAGGTTCCATTTCAATTATCCTTGCCAAACTTGACTTTCAGCTATTTTAGAGGGTGAAAGACAAAGACAGGACAGCTAATTTTCCCTAAAAAAGGAAAAACTTCTGGGCAAGTAACGGATGCTTTTCATGGTCAAATACTCTAGTAGGATAGTTTCTGTGCTAAGGAAAGCCAAAAAAAAAAAAAAAAAAAAAAGAGGATTGAATGATACTGCTTAAAAACAGACTGAAATAAGTTACATGGTCGCGTGGTAACTAATACAAGCACTTGACTATTAGTCATGAGATCTTGGTTCAGGACCTAATTCTGCACTGACCAGCCATGAGACACTGGGTAAATAGGTTATCCTCAGAATGGCATATTTCTCACTGGCCAAGAACTGTAAAGACATCTTAGATGGGATCTTATGAAATCTGAATTCTAAAACAATTTATGTAAAATATAAATTATATATTGGAAGGTCTAATCTTTATGTTTCATATGAGTTCTTCAGGCAGCATATTCTTAGCATATCCTATGGAGTAATAGACAGTCATCATCATACTTTCAATAGATTTTCCTTAAACACAACAAATGCAGCCTTATATCCAATGGATATTATACAATGTCAGCACTATTTTCCAAAAGAATACACAGTTATAATGTATTATTTCTTATTTAACATGGTAATACTGTCATTTTCTCTTATTTATTTTAAATTATAGAGTTTATATCATTATCTGCCCCACCAACACCACTATCAATTGCAGAAAACTGGTAAAGTATAACAAAGAATAAAGAAGTGGGTAAGGATAGGGGAGATTTAAAATTTATACATAGTCCCATAACCTAGAACAAATAGCATTAATATTTGGTATATTTCTTTCTCATTTTTTGTCCTATTTAGTCCTCTACATGTGTATATGTTTCTTTTTCATTAGAATTTTTCCATGAAATGAACAATTCTCCCTAAACTTTATTTTTAATGGTGCAGAAATTTTATGACATAGATGTACTATAACTGACAGATACCACTCTCCTCTTGCTTTACATTGTTTCAAGTTTTTTGCTCTCATGAGTAATAGTGTGATGAGTTATCTTTGTGTATAAATTTCTGTCCATATTTTTGCTTATTTCAGATTTCTAGAAGTATAATTCCTAGGTCAAAGAATTTCCCTGTATAATTTTTAAAGAATTCACATTCCAAAATAAGGGACCACTTACGGCTTTTTTCCACAAACACTTTGCCTACGGGTTGGCTAATGCCAGTAGGTGCAGTGAATATAGACTGTTGCTCTGGAGTACTCTGCTCATCAGTAATTATGTCTTCATCTTCTACTCCCAGCTCATTGACAAACTGTAATTCTGCTGGCTGGGTTTTCCTTTAATCAAGGAAAAAGAAAGAAAAATGGATAATTATTGAATTTTTACAGACCTACTTAAGGAGGTACCAGTGAATATAATGAAAAGAGTATTGGACTTCAAGCTGAATATTTGGTTTTTACACAAACAGCTGTGATTAGCTGCTAAGCGTAGCAAATCGCCTATATTGCTGTAGGTCTAAGTTTTCTCATCTGGAAAATGAAATGACTAAACCAAATTTGTAAGGTTCTTGCCAGACTGAAAAATGAATGATTCTTTGTAGGGCCATTTACAAATACAAGCAACAGTGCTATATAATTTTTTTATACTTCAGTATAGTATGCCACTCTATTTTATCTAACAATTATCTATGCCAAACACATTTTCATTTGTTGCTGAAATAATAATTTGAATTTTTTAACATGAAAAAGTAAATCACAATAGCCTATTTTATTAAGATCACTTTTAATTTTAAATATATTTAATAAGAGTTTTTGTTAATTATTTGCTAGTTACATAAAATATTTTGTGTTCCTTTTTTGGGGCAGTGCTTCAGAATTTTTACTGAAGTATAATATTTAACTTTTCTCAGTGGTTTACTCTTTTCATTAGATTGAGTTAACTGATATTTTTCTAGTACTACTTATTGTAGAGATATACAATTACAAGCATATATTAAGAGTTAATCAGAAGCCACCATTGAGAGTTCCAAATTAAGAATCAGAGTATTCCTGGAGGATTTAAATTAAATAGATTTTTACTTTGTCTTCCTTCGAGGCTTTTGAATAACTGCCTCCTCACTTGGCTCCACATCAACACCATTTTCATTTCGTAATAGAGATGGACTAGACATCTTCTTATGGGTGAAAGAAGTCTCCAAGTCTGAAAATGAAGTAGATTATTTTCAAATTACTGTAATGTAAAATGAAAATTGATGAATAAGACTTTTATAAGATGAGAACTTTAAGACTTAGTTTTAATTAGGCCAAACCTTACAAATGTTTAGTTTTTTAAATTTTACTCTTCCAAACATTCAAAAAATTTGAAATTACAATGCCAAACAATAAGGGAAAAAAATTAAGTAATCCAACTCCCAAGATTACTTCAAGATTCAGTAACTTCCTTACAACAGTCACAGGACTCATAGATGGTTTATTAACAGTAAAATGATATAAAACAAAATCAGCAAAAGGCAAAAGTTCAAGGAGCAAAGTTTAGAAGAAACCAGATGCAAGCTTACAAGACTCCTCTATCAATGTAGTCACACAGGATGTGCTAACTCCTCTAGCAACAAGTTGTGACAACATGTGTGACACCTCCTCTACCAAGGAGAACTCATTAGAGACTAAGCATCGCTGGTTTTTATTGGGGGCTGATCATAAAGTATTATCTGCCTGGTATATACCAAAACTCCAGATTCCCAGAAATAAAGCAGGTGCTCAGCACAAATCACATTTGTGCACAAATACACAATGAACCACCCTAATAATTCAGACAAAATTTTATATCCATGTTTACCAGTCAAGTTCCAGATTCCAGTCAAAAGCCAGCCTTCCCAAAAGGCCCTTCTAAGGTGAGTAGCCTCAAAAGGCTGCCTGCTTTGTTAACTCTTTTCTACACCGGGCATTAAGTTTAAGTAAGTCATACAGCCTTCTAACCTACTATCTGCTCTTCCCATCTGGAAATATTGGCAATGGCACCCTTAAATGCCTTCAGAACCCTTCTAAGTCTATTTTAATAAAATACAGCATGGGCTGGAAATACAGCAGTAGAGCCTACCACGGTCATCCTAGACAAAACAAAACAAAAATCAAACAAAATTAAAACCCCAGAAATTCAGAAAGGTGAACCTAATGGGTGGGTGTGTTCTCAAGTGGTAGTGAAAGGCACGTTTCAGCACAGAACTTAGTTGGGTCCTGAATTTTCTAAAAATGTTGGTCAAGTCATTTCTGTCAATACATTTTTCACTATTTATAGAACTATATATTTATTTTCAAATTTGTACCTTAACCAACTTACTAAGAGAGTATTTTAATTCAACATAATGAATTATAATAAATAACTTGCAGAGTAGGTAGAGTTGTCTGAGCATAATTTCTATTTCTCCATTCTTCTTCCCTCTTCTGACCACTGCTCCTCCTCACAGATACTAATGCCCTTGGGCGCTATGGTATCCTACTTCAACTTGCCTCTCAAAACTGTGTTCTACGTTCCTGACTTTTCCAGTTCCTAGCCATCTACTCCTATAATTCTTCCAGCCAATCAGGACCTGTTGTTATCTCAGAGGGCAAATAATGGGTCAAGGAAACTCTTCTGTAATAAATCATTTATAAGATCAGATAGTAAGAGTAGAGTTAATCTCCGAATCTTTGTTTTTTCCCTTTGTTTTACTCAAACAAAACTCATTGTCCTTTTTCTGTTTATTATAACAGCCATCCATGCTCAATATATGAAAAATTGGTCCAAAATAAAGACAATAAAAATCATCTCTAATTCCTTCTTCCACAAAACCTATCACTGTTAACAGTTAGCTATACCCTTCCATTCTTTTTACTATGTATATATACATATGTATACATACTTAGGCTCAGGGTTGAATTGTGTCCCCTCAGAAAGATATATTCAAATCTTAATACTCTGTACCTGTGAATGAGACTTTATTTTGAAGTAAGGTCTGTATAGCTATAATCAAGATGAAGTCATGCTGGATTTTGATGGGCCCTAAATCCAATAACTGGTATCCTTATAAAAGTGAAACTTGGACACAGAAACATGGAAATATGAAGATGGAAGCACAGAATGGGAAAATGTGAAGATGGAGGCACAGAGTAGAGTTATATTGCCACAAGCTGAAGAATGCCCAGGCTTGCAACAACCATCAGAAGATAGACGAAGCTTCATAGGGGTCACGGCCCTGTGGACACCTTGATTTCAGACTTGTATCTTCCAACACTGTCAGAGAATAAATTTCTGTTACTTTACGTAACTTAATTTGAGGTACTATGTTATGGAAGCCCTAGGAAATTAACACAACATATTCTATAAAAATGGTATCCTTTGATACAGACTATTGATATTTCAGAATCTTTGTTTTTGATCAGTAATATATTATTTATGGCTTTCCATCTCATTACTTCACTTTAACAATTTTTTAAATGGGTACTTGGTTTCCATTAAATAGATAAAATACGGTTTATTTAGCCAGTATCACATTGTTAGGTATTTGGTTATTACCAGTTTTTACTCATAAATAATACTGCAGTTAACAACCTTTAACTAGTGTAATATTGTAGTAACTTCTATTTCTAGAATTCCAACAGGCTATACCAATTTACATTCCTATTAGTAGTGTATGAGTGTCCCCATTTCTCATTAACACTTTTATATCCAACACTTTTGGATTTTATATTTTTTAAAAAAACACTGCTAATTTGATAGGCAAAATAAAATGACAGACTATTTGTTTACCGTGTGAATAGTGCCTGGAACATAATCTGACTCAATAAATGTTGGGTATTTTTTCATTATATTATTAATACAGAATCTATCATTTTCCCACTAACCATTTCATCATACACTAAATTCTAATACAACAAGAACTAAATTTTTTTTAGTTCTGAATTTGTACCTTTTCCCTCATAATCTATATACATAGGCTCAAAAGAGACTCTCTAAAGTATTCTTAACCCATTAGAGTTACTCTAGTGGTGAAAGTGTTAAAAAAGAAAAAAAATGGGCTATGAGGTGGGAAAAATAGAAACAAACTTGTATTTTCAACCATAGCCTGGAAATCACAACAGCAATCACAACCTAACGTTGGTTTCTTCACATACCGAGGGGTAGCCTTGTCTTCTTGTTTCTCCTTGGAACGGGAGCTTCTAGATGCTCTGTGGATTCTTTAGTTGATAGCTCACTGCCCTCAGAAGGCCTATGAACAGCAGTTTGAACAAGGCCTTCCAAAGAAGCACTAGCTACAAAAAAACAGAGTAGGAAAAAAATGGGATAACTTAAGTAAAGATCATCAAGTCTTAAAAAGATGAGGAAAAGGGAAATAGAATCTTTCCCATAATAAAGCCTCTTATTTTATAGAACTGGTTGTACCACCAAATATTTATTTCCTTCTTCTTCACATTTAACTTTGGGCTCTAATAAAATTGAGAAAAGAAATAAATTGAGAAAATAAATAAATTTTAAAATAAATAAATAAATGGAACAAAGAAAACTGAGGGAAAAACACAATGGGGAACTAGAAAGAACAACAAAACAACGTGAGGAAAAGAAATTGCCTCAGAACTTTCAGGAAGATGAAAACATAACAGAAAATGTCACCAATGGAGGAGGACTATTGGTTCCCTGGCAGTTGATATGGTGTGACATGTACTTGAAAGGTGTGCCCCATCTCTGAATCAAATATACCATTGTAAACAAGTGCTGCCTCAATAAAAATAAAAAATAAAAAAAAACTTAAGACAATAAAAAGAAAATGTCACCATAGATAACGCTCACTTGTTCTTTAACCTAGGAATTATTAAACTCTACATGGTTTAGTCCTTCATTAACAAAATAACAGATGGTATAAAGTCATCATGGATGACTGGAGTTAACAGACAATTTATAAATCTTTCATTTGGTCATTCATTGCAATATCTCCTCTCATCAAATCTTTAAATAGATTTTGAGACACTTTGGCAGATTCTAATTTTACTGAACTACATTCCCTTGCTTGTCTTCTTCACAAAAGAAGAGATACAAATGCAGTAATAAATAAAAAGATACTTAAGTTCATTAGTTTCAGAAATAAAAGGGGGAAAGAGACATAAAAGATACCACATAAGTAAGACTGTGAGAGGCAGCAAGTGAAGAAACTAATCAGACTTAATTTTGAGGTTTCAAGTCTGAGTGTTGGGTTCCATTAAGTGAAATTTATAAGTGAGAAGTAAAATTAATCAAAGATGATGAATTCTGGATGTACTGAGTTATTTTACTGACAGAACATCATTAGTAAGTAACTAAAACAAAAAGGAATTCACAAAATTTGCTCATGATTAAAGCTTTAATACATGGATCATGGCCTTCAGACTTATGCTCTAATATAGAGATTCTCTGACTAAAATGAGGGATCCAGGAACCTTGGGTCTCAATTCCAGTATCCTGTTCAAGTGTCTGGAATCAATCAGAGCTTAAAATAATTTATATTGCCTAGGGATAAAAGACCTCAAAGAGTCTAAGATTGTTGTGGAAGTAAGTTTAGGTGGCACAACCCTTTAAGCCATGAATGCTTCTAGACAGTCTTCTGCCTTCCCCTACCAGGAATCCTGCCACTTTAAACTGACCTTGATTCTGTCCTCAACACAACAATGACTTGGGAATGCTGGGCATTGGCTCTTTCTGATCTGTGGTGTTTATCATGCCTAAGGTCTTATTAAAACCTGTGATCCCACACAAAAAAGAACTTCTTACCAAGTGTGGTTTTTGTTCTGGGCTTCTTTTTCTTAGAACGACTAGGTGGAACATCCTCTATAAAACAGAAAGAACAATAATAAAAAAGGCTGCCCAAAATCCAATGCAGAGAACAGTCAAAAGGGAACATTTAATAGGGGAGACCTTTTTCTCTCTTCCCTGGGTTCAGCCAACTTCTACACATTAGGGAAAGAAGGCAAGAAAATTGACAAAGTCTGCCCAAAGTGTGGTGCCAGTAGCTCACTGCTGGTCAGACGTAAAAGGTAAGCTAACCAAATATTTATCTGATCATCCACATTTCCCAACTCCTTAGCACTCAGGTTTGGTCTATAAATGGTTCTGTCCAATAAGCTGTGAGCAGACGTGATCTGTGTCATTAAGGGGCCAAAATATTTAAAAAGTCAGTGAATAAACCTCTAGTTTTCTTTTGCAGTGGCAACTAAGGAGGCCATGATAAGATGACAGGACCATAGGATGGAAGTAACCTGAGTCACTACACCATTAGTGAAGAGAGAGTGAAAGAAAACTGCCGCAGATTGCTGCCACAATGGACTTTGCATTAACCAGAAATAACCCTGAATGATATAGTCACTGAGATTTAGTGTAAGATAACCTAGTCTATACAAACCATATGAGACAAAGAAAGATGCAGTCCCTTTTCACAGAACTATAAACCAGACAACAGTTCTGTTCTGGATGATGTCATTAAGGGATGCACACTTTTATACCTATAAGGTCAAGTTTCAATCATATGACTGTTACTTATCAACCATCATTTTATAAATGGCAGTCACAGAAATTATTATTACAATAAAAGGATACTGTAGTATTATAACAGATTCAATTTTAAGAGAAACATTAGGAACCAAACTTTTTTTTTTTAAAGATTTATTTATTTATTTATACAAGCACTGGGCACAGTCAGAAACGCGGGAGGGTGCGAGAATTCGCCAGAGCCAGAGGGGGGAGCAGAGTAGGCAGAAGGACCGAAGTACACTGCTGAGGGGAGCAGCGGGTGGCAGGAGAGGTCTGCACGCCATGCGGGACCCTCCTCTGGTAGCCCGGGAGCAGCCGGGGATCGAACTGGCGCTGCAGAGGCTTCGGGCAGTTTCGCAACCCAGCGCTTAACCGCTGCGCCACCAGGGAGGCCCACCAAACAAATTTTTGAACAGCAAATACTATACTCAAAAAATTTTACATTAACAGTGCTCTAACTTACCTTGAATGGTACTTTATATGACGCAGACCAAGTTTAATCAGGATAAAGACAAAGAAGAAAGTATTAATTAGAAATCTATTATACTGTCAGAATGAAAATTTACTTAAGTTATTACAAATTTAAAATAAAATTAGCTTTCACACAGTGGGTTTACAAAGTAGCTTATTATATTTTACAAAATTATAAACTGTTTAGTTAGACTAACAAAATAACTACAATATTTTCTGAACCTATATACACATATATGTATTCTCTGCTGTCTATTAATAAAGTCGATTAAACAGATTAAGAACTCTTATTTTGTCACTGATTAAAATCAGCTTAAACTCTGATGAAACTATTCTAGCAAACAAAAGAGGAAAAGAATTCTGATAAACAAGACACAAAGACATTCAGAATGGATCCACTATCCTACCATGAGGACATGAGGCTTTGAAACAGAACATTAACTGTAACTATTATCCTAATAAATGATTCAAGAATTATTCACCTTTAAACTTTTAGGAAGCATTGTATTAAAATGTTCAAGAAGACTTCTCTGAATAATTAGTTTTGTAATGGTACTTGTCAATTTTTTTCACTTTATCCATCCTGCATTTTTAAAACTCAATAAAATTACTGTAAATTATTTTTACCTTGGCACAGGTGGCAGAGCACGTGGAGGACGCTATAAGCAAAAGAAGAAAACTGCTTATAAATAAAAGTTTGTAGGATCTTTACTTTATGCACATTAAGTATTATTCCAACAAATGAAACCCTGGAGTACTGAGGAGAATCAGGTGGGCAATTTTATTTATTTATTTTTATTTTTTATTTTTTTTAAATGTTATTTATTTATTTATACAAGCACTGGGTATAGCCAGAAGCGCGGGAGGGTGAGAGAATTCACCAGAGCCAGAGCGGGGAGCAGAGCAGGCAGAAGGACCGAAGCACACCGCCGAGGGGAGCAGCGGGCAGCAGGAGAGGTCTGCGCAACATTTGGGACCCTCCTCCAGTGGCCGGGGAGCAGCCGGGGATCGAACAGGAGCCGCAGAGGCTGCGGGCAGCTTCGCAACCCAGCGCTCAACCGCTGCGCCACCGGGGAGGCCCAGGTGGGCAATTTTAAATGTGTTCCACCATTTCTAGATTTCATACACAAGTCCATTCTTCCTAAGTTCTTTTTTTAACCTACTGGCTAGCCTCTGTTCTAAGCATTAGGGACACATTAATGAACAAAACAGAGAGATACCTGATTTTATTGAATTTTCACTCCAGTGGTTCAGTATTGGAAGATAACATTTAAAAATATGTATGTTAAGATGAGGGAGATGAGCAATACTATTTTACTTAGGGAAAGTCTCCCCTGACATATTTAAGCTGAGACCTGAATAAGAAAGAAACCAAAAAGAAGCAACTACAGAGGGTTTTAGGGGATATACGGCTTGGAGAGTTCCATTAAAAAAAAAAAAAAAAAAAAAAAAAGGGCCAGTAAGCTGCAGCACAGTTACCAATGAAAGGTAGGCAGGGGTGGGATTGATTTGAGTGTAAAAATCAAGGGAAGGAATCTAAGTTTTGTTTTTAAGTCCATGGTAAACCGATGGAGGTTTTAAGTCACGTAGTAACAAACCCTTTTAAAAGGCCACTGAATACAGCATGAATGCATTTTAGGGCAGAATTTTTTAAAAACCCTTACACATGCTATTTTGCACGAATAAGAAAAGCTGTGTCTGCAGTTCAGAGATTACAATCAAGCAAAATGGAAACTTCCAAAATAAAATACTTATAGAAATGTCTAAAAATCAGTTTATGTTCCGAGTACCTCATGCTGTTTGCAGTGCACGCTGATTCAAAAGAGTTAAATTTTAGACACTCGTAGTTTGTTCTACAGCTGTCCCATTTAGCAATCCATTCGTGCAAGCAATATATTAATGCAAATGTCACAAGATCAGGTCAAGGTAAACTGTTTTTACCACTACCCAGACCTGAAAATTACGATTCGAAAAGAACAACAATCGCGTGAAGGGGCTATTGTTCTAAGGATGCTAAGGATCGCTTCTTTCCAAGGGCTCGGTTCACACGATCACTCCACATTTCAAAAGTCCCGCAAAAATGACGTGTCACGGGTCCAGAAACCTAACCACTACGTCCCTCGAAAGCAGAACGGCTCGACTACAATCCTAATGACTCAAAAGTCACTGAGGCTCGCTTACCACTTGCTTCTTTCCCATTCCGTCTAAAGCCCCGCTCGCCGGCAGCCGCCGTGCCCGAGTCGGCGGGCGCTCAGCCTCTCATCCTTCCTGCCGGCCCCTCCTGCCCCTCCCAACTCGCCTCCTTCCCCGCGTACCCCCTTCCCAGCGACTCTCGGGCGCGCGCGTGGGCGCAGGCACAGTGCGTCATCGAGCTGCGCCGCGCAGATACCCCCGGCCCTTAGTCTCCCCCGCGGTCCGGCAATGCCGGAATCCGCTCTGAGTTTTCAGTCTACCCTGCGGGGAAAAGGGCGTCCGTGTTGGGGCTAAGGTGCCCGGGAGGAAAGACTCCAGTAGACGTGGGGCAGCGGTCACGGTTTTCCCTATGGTTTCCCAAGTGGTTGCAGTGATTTGGGGGATTAGAGGGCTGACCATGATTAAGTCTCCCCTGCCAAAAAGCGATCTCTTTCCCGGGCAGCTAGAAGCCCTCCGGAGGGGTCTGTAGGGTGGAAACAGCAGGCAGCCCCGGCGCCGCGGCGGCCAGGGTAGCGGAGAAGTGCCGTCGTCATGGCAACATGGCAAGCACTCAAGCCGGAGGAAACTGACCCGTGGCTTCTCGCCTGGATCCTAGAGTTTGGGGCCCCGATCTATCGCCGAACTTCAAGCCCCCGCCCCAGTTCTAGCCTAAAAGCTCCGCGAGGACCGAAGCGCGCGGTCCACGCACCGAGTGGCCCCTTCCCAGCCTCAGTCTTTGGCGTAGGCCCCGCCCCAGGCATAGCTGTTTCTTGGGGGCCCCACTCTCCGCCCTGCCGCTTCAGGTGGCCGACTCTCCCCACACCGCTCACCGGTGCTTCCAGCTGAAGCCCCGAGTCAGGCCTCATGGTGCTCTCCCCGCGGGTCGTGCAACCGCCGACTGCCCGAGCCTGGCTCCCCGCGACGCCACAGCCTGCTGGAGGCGGGGGCTCCGCGGCGCTGTACTAGCGGCCGCCCCTTGGGGCCAGGTTTCCACCCGCTTGAGCTCTGCAAAGCCAAGCGTTCTGAGGCGCCAGAATTAGTTAGGAGGGACCGGCTCCTGTAAGCCTCCAGGACCGACGTTTCGGGTGGGATGGGATCTGTTATTACAGACAGTTCTCATACTTTCTCTGTCTCTCTCTGCCTCTCCCCCCCAACCCCCCCCCCCGCTCCGCACCCCCGCCGTGTGTGTGTGTGTGTGTGTGTGTGTGTGTGTGTGTGTGTGTTGGGGCAAATCAAATTTGGGGAACCAACATGAAATCAAATCCGGGTTCACATAAGTAGCATTAAAAATGTCTTCATTTTGATTGGTTGGGTTTTCTAGAAGATATCACTTTAAGTAAAAAACAACAACAAACTTTTTAAACACTCACTCTGGAGAGGTGGAGGGATGGTGTGGCTATGGAGCAAGTTAGCGAATAATGAAGAAGATAAATAGAATTAGCGACAGGAAAAGCGAATAGAAGTCTCAGATTTAGGGAAGGAAGAAAATAAAACTTCGTGGAGTAACATTCTTAACGTGTCAAATATTGGTCTCTAAGATTTCATTACCGTTCCCCAGTTCAGGCATAAATGTGACTATTGACTTTTAGGAACATTATTGTTACAGCTCTGGTCAGAATCATTTTTCCTTGTAGTCGGATGCGTAAACAGTGATGGCCAAGTCATTTCTGTAGGCTTTGATGTGATGTGTGAAATGTGTGTATTAACTCTTCTTTCTTGTTAAATTAGTCAAGTAGGCACTTTTTGTAAAATCCAGTTTCATAAAATAGAGTCTTCATAAAATGAAATGCAGTTTCTGAAATCCAGTACTGCTTATTTTATTCAGGAAAGCTTTTTCGATTGGAATCTTACAAACACCATATGAAATCTATGAAAGATTCTTATAAGACTCAGTGACTTAACACTTGGTATTCCTATCACTGAATATGCTTGGTATTCCTATCACTGAGCCTGAATAAGACGTATACCTATCACTGAA